CCTTCCTTCCTTGCAAGGCTGCCAGGCTGAGCTGAGCACAGCTTTGTTGCTCTGTGCCTGGTGCCAACACATGCAGCACCATCATTTGTTCTGCACATTCGTGGGTGGAAGCCAAGGGTCAGACTCTCCTCAAACACGCAAACAAGGTCTCGCTTCTGTGGTCCCCACCACACTCACCCTCCAGGCTCGCTTGGACTTCCTCCCACAAACACAGCTGGAAACGAAACATTCTGCTGATTTTAGCAGCTACAAAATCACCAGCTGGACGCAAGTGTTTGGTTTTTCACTAGTGTCTAGAGAAAGATAAGGATCAAATGTAACAGGAAGATCAAGGCTCACAATGCCCACCCTTGCCCGGGAAGCCTCTTCTCTGCAGCCAGGGAACTGAGAGTGGCAAGGGTGCCAGTCCGACCAGGCAGCAGCTATGACCCACGTTCCCTGAGCTTGGGCATTGTAGGGACTTCAGATGGCCTCCCCACTGACAAAACCAACCTTTGACAAAATGGTTTCAATTACACTTAAGAGTAAGTTGACTACACAGAGAAATTTACTGGTATTGAAAAACAGTCGGAGGACAACCCTAAAAACCATGAACATGGCTATTTATGGGGCTAGGCCTTTGGCACAACTGTTCAGATGGCATGCAGGGTGCCCACGTCCCATGTCAGAGTCCCAGCTCCACTTCCAACTCCAGCCTCCTGCTAATGCACCCCCTGGGGGCAAGCAGGTGACGGCTCAGGGACCTGGGTCCCTGCGCATAGCTTCCTGGCTATGGTCTGACCCAGTTCGGTCTGTTAGAAGAATCAGGAGGTTGTAGGGGCTGAGCCAGGGGTGGAAGCTCTCTTTCTCTCTATCTATCATAAAATACAAAGCAAAACAAAATAATTTAGAATAAATTAAATAAAATTTACATATGACAAAATACAGGGTCAGTGAGTGCATGTTCCAGAATATGCATGTGTATACATGTAAGTACACATGTTCATATGCACATGTACACCTTGGAACCCCCTAAATGCTTTATGGTAATTACAAAATATAACTACTGTAGAAATAAAAGCTAAGGGGTTTCTGAACAATTGAAGCCAGAAATATTGAATTGTGTATCAAGTTGTTGGCAAGCCACCCACAGAAGAGTGATTCTGGTGACTTTAAAGGCAGGTTGGAATTCAGCACCCAGGTGAGCACCTCTGAGGGTGAAGATGCCCGTGAAAGGCCTGAGCTGCCCCCTGACTGCCAGCGGCAATCTTTGTATTGGCTGTTTTGGAAATGTTGCAGGTATGCAGTGTGGACTCAGTCAATCATGACATGTTTGTAACCAGGAAACAGAGCAGAACTGCGGGTATCATAACCTATTCAAACACCATTGCGGGAGGGCGTTTTCCCAGCCCTCCTCAGAGTGACAACACCCCGCCCCCCTCAATCATGGGCAACACAGCCCGTAGTCCCCAGTGTAAGGACCAGAGTGTGGTGTTGTTTCCATCCTTTACTGTTGGCACTGTGTTGTGTTTTTTAGTGACACTTGACATTGGTACCTATTTAGGATTTAGTGTGAAATTTCCGTACCTGGGCCTGACACAAAGGCTCAGTGGTTAGCCTCTCCGCCTTCAAGTGCCAGGATCCCATATAGGTACCGGTTAGTGTCCTGGCTGCTCTACTTCCCATCCAGCTCCTTAGGAAAGCAATGGAGAATGGCCCAAAGCCTTGGGACCCTTCATCCACGTGGAGACCCAGAAGACGCTCTTAACTCCAGCCATTGTGGCCACTTGGGGAATAAACCAGAGGGTAGAAGATCTTTCTCTTTGTCTCTCCTTCTCTCTGTAAATCTGACTTTCCAATAAACAGTTTTAAAAATCTTAAACGAGAGAGAGACGGAAAGAGAGAGAGAGAAAAGAGCAGATCCAAATCCAGGAGCTTCTTCTGGGCCTCCCATGCAGGTACAGGGTCCCAAGGTTTTGGGCCATCCTCTACTGTTTTCCCAGGTTACAAGCAGGGAGCTGGAAGGGGAATGAAGCAGCCAGGACACAAACCAGCACCCTTATGAGTTTCCAGTGCATGCAAGGCAAGGACTTTAACCTCTAGACTACTGTGCCTGGCCCAAAATAAATAAATGTTTTAAAAATGTTTTCCATATGTGTGTACAACAGGTAATGATCAAGCCAGGGTAGTGAACATTTTCAGCCCTCAACCATGGGCAGTTTCTATGTGCTGGGACCCTCTGGACCACCTGCTGTAGTTATTTGAGGATATGTGGTAAACTGGTGGCATAAGCGATGATTGCCTCGCCGGGCAATGGCACACCAGGACTAACAGCTCCTGCCTCACAGTGTTGACTGCCCATTTCTCGCTTCTGTCCCTGCTACTCCTCGTAATCCATAGTTCATGTGCTTCTTCCATGAGATCTGTTTCTCAGCTTCCAAAAGTGAATGAGACCATGTGACCTTTGTCTCTCTGTTTATTTCACTTAGCACAGTACTCTACAGTTTCACGTACACCATCACTATTCACAGGATTTTATCCTTTCATGGCTAGATCATATTCCATGGTGTGTATACACATTCCTTTATTCATTCATCCATCAGTAGACACTTTGGCTGATTCTTCACCTTGGCTGTTAGGATCCCTGCTCCAGTAAATATGAAAGGGAAAGGGCAGATAGCTCTGACACATTTGAGTATTTACCCAGAAATGATAGCTTTATTTTTAGGTTTTTTTTATTATTAATTAATTTGTTTGAAAGGCAGAGTTACACAGGTAAATCTTCCATTTGTTGATTCACTCCCCAAAGTACTTGCAATATCCGGGTGTGAGCCAGGCCAAGGCCAAGAACTAAGAACTCCATTCGGGCCTCCCACGTGGGCAGCAGGCACTTAAGCACTTGAGCCGTCATCTCCTGCTTGATCAGGTGCATTTGTAGGAAGTGGGATGAGAAGTGGAGCAGACGGGTCTCGAACCAGTACCCTGCCTTGGCCAAGTTTCAGACTGGACAACAGACTAGGAACAAGTATCATAGCATTAATTATCATGATCCAGTTTTCAGATGGCATAATACCTTTTACATATACTTGAGTTTTGTTGTTCACAGTCATTCATCCAGGCATTCATGCATTTCTGTATCGTATGTTCATAGGAATGAAAAAAATCCAAAACGGTGTGGGTGTTTTGATGAAAGGTATATTTGAAAGGCAGACTGGCAGAAGGAGAGCCAGGTCGAATCTAGGAACCAGGAGCTTCATCTGGGTCTTTCCTGCAGAAGCGGCAGGTCCTCAGGTACCTCACCACCTCCTTAAGCTACTTCCCATGCACACCAGCAGGATGTTGCATGAGAAGCAAAGCAGCCAGGATTCAAGTCAGTGCTCACCTGGGATGGTGAGATGCTTAGCAAACTGTGCCACAACACCAGCCCCAAGCAATTGGGTTTTGTTTTGTTCAGTTTTATTTTTAATCATGACCTTCCTGCTTCTGAGCTGTGAACCCACCTTTGTGACTTGGGGATGTGTGACACCACACAATGGCAACTCTGTGATGTGCAAATGTCATGAACATTAGAAACAGCACAGGAAGGAACATGATGGGACAGCAACTCTGCAGACTGCCATGTTGGACAGGCGTCTGCTTGCCGCCTTTCAGAGCATGGCTACTACAGATGGCACAATGTCTGCGCCAATCACCTCTGGAGAATGTTCGAGATGTGGATGGGTAAAACCATTGGTGGGTCTTTTTTTTTTTTTCCCTCTTCCAAATGTCTCCGCTCAGGACATCATGGCAGCCCCAAGCTGGGGAGTCTCCTCATCAGGGACCCTGCCTGGGAACCTTGTGTCATCATGGCTCCTCCTGGGCACTCAAGAGCATTACAGCCTGACAGCATTTGGGATGCCATGGTGGCACCTAAAGGAAAGGTTTGAGGACCAGGTAAATGGTCCCTTTTCAGTCAACTCTCTCCCCTCCTGCTTCTCTAATTAACAAATCCACAGGGGGCCAGTGCCTTGGGGAGGGCGGGGGGAGTCAGCATTGAGATCTTCCCAAGAAAGCAAATTACTTCCCAGGTGCCATCCCTGCTCTGTGCCAGGCCCACTGAGAGCGTCATGGATGTGGTATAATAATAATGAACTCACTGAAGACAGCTGGAGCCTGAAGGATCCTCCTGAAGGATCCTCCTGGAGGCGCTGTAATCACCAACCAGCATGTCCCAGGGTTTGGAAGCAACACCTGTCATGTGGCTCCAATGATCTTCCTCTAACAGTACCTGGCACCAGCCCTGAGCACTCCTCCCCACACCCACACAGCCATGTTCATCACCTGCACTCCACGCTTGCCTCAGGGCTGATCAGGGCCCACCATCAGAGACTCCCATGAGCCCCCACAATCCTGAGCTTACATCCATACATGACCTTCAATTTTGATCCTGTACATAATGACCAGATCTTTCAAGGGCGTGTTTTCCTTTACCAATGCAAACATTTCCAAACTCAAGTTATTTTTTTAATCGTCACGTTCTGGAGTTCCTTCATGTCTTAGACTTGGAGCCTTGAAAATTGCAAGTGGACTGGGTCCCTTTTGACTCTGAGGCTGTTTGAGCTGCAGCAGCAGAGAGACCACAGCCCCCAGAGGAGGCTCCTCCCTCCCAGCCAGCTGGGCTACCCTGTGCTGGAGGCCAGCCACAAAGACCTCAGCAAGCAGACCCTCCGTCCCCAGCTAGGGGTAGGAGTTAAGGAGCCGAGATTCAGTGTGGATGAAATCACACAGGAGGCAGGGGCAGCCAGGAAGCATGAAATGTCTCATGCTGCGTGCTCTGAAGCCACTTCCTGGACAGGGAAGTGGGGTTTGGTGCCAGGCTGGAGGGTCAGTGAGATGAACAAAGGGTGAGAGGTCTGTTCATTATTTTATATTTTTAATTTATTTATAAGATAGACAGAGAGATGTCCCAACCAATGGTTCACTCCCCAAATGCCTGCATTAGCCAGGGCTGAACCAAACTGAAGCCAGGAGCCCAAAAGTCCCATATGGGTGGCAGGGACCCAAATGCTTGGACCATCACCTGCTGCCTCCAAGGGTGTGCATTAGCAGGAAGACCACACTGCTGACCACGGAGGAAGGAAGGCTGATGCCTAAGGCTACACATATTTCTGGATACAACTTTCAGATCAAGGTCCTGGGAACCAGCAGGGACCCTGCCTTGACGTGACAAATGCGCTTCCCAGGCAGGAGTCTCCATGAACATGCTGCTTTTTCCCATGGGGAGAAAGCAGATGGACCCATCTCCCTAACACTTGGAGGAAGGCTTTTCCCTCTGCCCTTGCTGGCCTGATTCAGGTGGGAGCCGGGGGAGCCAGGAAACCCCTTGACAGGGGAGGAGGTCATTCCTCACTGTGCCACTTGGGGGTCCGATAGTGCATTTTCTGGAACAATCTGCCCGTTTGCTTCCTCCATCATTTCTTTGTACTGACGTTTGAAGAAGCCCACCTGCAGGGAGGAAGAAGACGAACAGGGCATTCAGTGGAAGAGAAGAGGATTAGGGTGGCGTGGGAAGGGCAGCTGTGTCCAGAGCCCTGCAAGGACCACCATCCCACACCAGAGGCTTGTGCAGGTGTCACTCAGACCCAGCCAGGATGCACTGAGCTGGGTGGCCATAGCTTCCTGATGATAACTCAAGATCCAGAGAGGATCCAGCTAAGGAGTAGTGAGAGGTGGAATTACTGTAAAACCCAGGGTTACTGCCTGCTATGGGGGTGGGGAGAGGCTGCAGGGAGATGGAGAAGAAAGGAAGGGAGGTGAGACAGGGTCTGCGAATCACACAGGAAGGCACAGACCGGATGGCCCTGAGAAGCCTTTTGTGGGTGGGAGGAGTTTCTCACCCAAAGCAACCAGGTGAGAATGTATTGGGTCCCCACAGTCAGCCAGCCCTTCACCACACTGCACAGCACATGGAGGTCCATGCAGAGGCAGCATGGAGAGCCAGGCCGGCACTCACCTTGTACAGCACGGCTGAGATGAGAGCCAGCAGCAGGAGGCCACCCACACAGCTGCCCACCACCAGGGGCACGGGATTGTGCACCTGGTACTCCTCCAGCACCGTCTCCACCTGTTGGTTCAGGCCTTGTTCATCCCAAGCCCCTCCCGGCATCCCCCTCTTCCCTCCTTCCTTTCTTCCCTCACTCATTCCCTGTTCCAAGGGCAAGAGGCAGAAGCACTGTGGGCTTGGGGTCAGCTGTGCCACAAGCATCCTCCTCCCTCCATGTTCGCTTTCCCACCCCCACAAGTAGGGGCAGCCCCAGGTGCCCTCCCAACCTGGCCCTACCTGGGCTTTCAAGAACATCTCCTGGCCTGGAAGCTGAGAGTATACAGATCTGTCGAAGGTCAGCTCAGCCATGCTCACCACCGACACCTTCTTGTGTGGCATCTGCAAGGGCAGGGGGCACTCAGGGTTCTTGCACCAGCCTGGCAGGAGGATGGCATAGATGCTGCCTGCAGGAGGGTCATGAGTGGGGTTACACACCTGGTTGAGCCAGGCAAAGCTGAGGGTGCCATTCAGCATGAAGTCTAGCTCCTCCTGGATGCCGAAGGAGGGGGCGTGGCAGCGGAACCTCAGGCAGTGGGCTACATTGCAGTCCTGCGGACAGGAGAAGCAACATTAGGCCAACAACAAGATGAGCCAGAGGCCACACGGCCCACAGAAGCGGCCTGGGGGAAGCAGCTGCTCAGAGGGTGTCCATGAAAGTGGGACAGGGAGACTAAAAGCACTCCCCGATGTGTGTATGTGGCAGGGGGCTGGGGGGACAGCCCGAAGCCCCCTTACCACCACAGGGCTCTTCTGAATGTGTGTCCCAAAGCCAGGTGCTGGGGGAGCTACTTTTTCCGAAGAGCACCGAACGGCCTGGTTCTAGAAAACACAGAGAGAACGAGGGACTCCGTCAGAACACGGGAACTCCATGGGGGACACAGGGCCCACCAGGGTAGGGGAAACACGGGGTGGAGCCACGCCTGGCCTCTGGGTACCTGAGGCTGGGACACCTCCACTTCCGTCCACATAGCAGCCCCGTTCAACTCCACAGGCACCCAGAAGTTGATGCTGAGTGGCAAGTCCCTCTGTCCCAGGTTGTTGACCTACACACAGGGCAGTAAGGACTCGGCCCAGGCCTGGGCCATGCTGTTCCCTGACTCCCCAGACCCCTCCTCCCCAGTACTCATCCACATGCCTGGTATCTGTGCTGGGCCACACTGCTGCCCGCCTTCTCAGAGGCTGAGAAGTTGAAGTACCTGGTGGATTGCTCATGGCTGCAAAGAGAGAAGGCTAGGGTAGGTTCCGGGGTCTATGAGTAGGCTAGGACTTGGAGTGTGGTGGCTAGGCATGACTAGTGGGGCTGTGGGTGGGCCCAGACCAGGCCCACAGCTGAGTCCAGGATAAAGGAGGATTTAGGAAGCAGAAGTAGGGGGCCTGTTCAGGAAGCTGCCTGTGGGGGGCCAGGGGCGGGGTGGGGGCACTGCTCAGGGAGCCACCTGCAAAGGGCAGCACCCACGGCTCATCCCTCACACTCTGGTTTTCCTAGCAGCCCTTCCTGGGCGTGAAGCACATGGTCAAGATTTAGGGAAACTCAGCTTTGCTGAGCAGCAGCGACCTGGGCACAACCCCTTCCCATCTCTCTCAGGCTCTCGCAGGAACCCTTCTCTTGCCTTTCCTTGGCTTTTTCCAGCCTGAGGCTTGGAAGTGAGGGCAACTAACAAATCACTGACTTTATAAAGTACCCTGAGACCAACTCAGCTCTTGCCATCACAAGGTGGCTGGTCCCACACTTGAGTGTCCTCTAGTTCAGTGACCCCTGCAGGTGTGGCTGGGCTGGAGGGACACACTTACCCTGCCTGTGGGTCCCCAGCAGGAGACATCAGAACCCCAAAGTGAACAAACTGGGAAATGGTACCAGGCTTGGGAGCTCCCAGATGTGCGGGTGCAAACTAGAGGTGGGTGGACAGCATGCGGGCATGTCCCACAAGGACATACTATGTCTGCTGCTGACTGCATGAACTCGGGACATTGCAAAACTTGGTTGCCAGTACACAGAAGTATGCCAGCACAGGGACCAGCACACAGCAGCACTGAGAAGGCATCACCCAGACACTTGAGCTGACCTCTGCGTTTCCCAATGCCTCTTCTAACCTTCACAGCCTCGACCTTCTGGGCAGTGTGCCCCTGACCCCCAGTTCTGCAGAGGCAGGACATCTGCCCTTATCCTTCCTCAAGGTGACTGGGTAAGACTGGAGGGTAGAGGACAAAGACTGTTCCTCACACAGAACACCTGTCCTGTCCAAACACCAGGGGCCCCTTTGAGAGTCTGCTGGTCAAGCTCAAGGTTGTGGACCCTTCAGCACTGAGTAAAAATGCCCCTCAAAGAAGGTCCCAGCACTACTCATCCCCACTCCACCCTTCATATCACACACGCACACACACAGAGAGAGAGAGAGAGAGAGAGAGAGAGAGAGAGAAAGAGAGAGAGAGAGAGAGAGAGAGAACAGTTGCCCTTGCTGAGAATCCTTTCTTGGATTAGGTTCATGTTGCTTCTCATGAAGGCTGCAAGAACCTCCAAGTCAGGAGCTTGCCTCATCCCTCCTGGGGTACCCAAGAGAACCTGGAGCTTTTGAGGCCTGTCACCTCTAAGGCAGGATATGATGGTGGTGATGGTGGTAGTGATAGTGAAGATGATGATGATGGTTATGATGGCGACAGTAATGATATCACAGTCATAACAGACCCACAGTCGGTAAGCAGTGTGAGCAGCAGTCCCCACCCCTTCAGAAGGGCAGCTGCTTCAACACGGGTGTGGTTTGTCTCCCTAAATACATGCAGCAAGGTGGTAAGTTCAATGTGCAAAGAGGGTACTGTCCAGAGACAGATCCTCTGGACAGTGATGAGGTGTGGCTAGTGTCCCTAGGGGAGAATTTCTGTGATGGGATCAAGGTGGCCTTATAAGAGGAAAAGAAGGCACACACACACACACACACACACACACACACACAGACAAGGGCAGACACATGTGTCCCCCATGGGCTACCATAGGATGCATGGTGCCCCCTCACACTCCACCAGCGAGGCCAGGTGAAACCCTTAGACCTTGCCAGCCTGATTCTGGGGATTCCATGGAGGAGGAAGAAACAGACTCCAACAGGGACAGTTAACCATCCACACATCCAGTGAAGAGCTCCTGGGAGGACCCACCTGCTGACGATCACGTAGACAGCATACATCACCGGCAGCTCCAGCTGGAAAAAGCTCTTGCTGGTCCTGGGTGTATTATTCTCACTGGACAAAGAGGAGAGGCCCAGTTGCCAAGAGCCCCAAAGGAGGAGGGGGCGGGAGGGCTGGGGCTCAAGGGAAGCTGCCCCCCAGGCCTGGCCCAGCACACCTGCTCACATTGGCTGTCAGAAGCAGCCGATTTCCCAGCTTGGCCCTAGGGGAGACGTCGAAGGTAGCCAAGAAGGTGATCTGAGGATGAGGTAGGAACAGGTCACAGGGGAGCAAGACAAAGGCAGGGTGGAGGAACGGGAGTGCACGGGAGTCAAGCCAACCTGGGTGCCCCCTCGAAAGATCAGGTGCTTGAGGCTGCAGCTGGTGCTGCTGGCATCCTGGCTCCCGAAGGGGACAACGCTGTCACATGTCAGGCGCGGGGAATGTAGCTGACTCTGGGCCTGGCAAAGGTAGGTGAGAAGTTGTGAATATTCCAGTTCAGTGAGGAAGTGATGCTGTTCCTGGCAACTACTTTAAGGTTATGCATTTTTGTTTGTTTTGTTCAAAAATTTACCTATTTTCCTTTGAAAGACAGAGTTCCAGAGGGAGGAGAGACACAGTGAGAAGCCCTCCACCCACTAGTTCATTCTCCAAATGACAATAGCCAGAGCTGAGTTGGCTGAAATCAGGATCCCAGAATCTTCTCTGGACCTTCTGCATGGACTCATGGGCCAAAAGACCTGGGCCATTCTCCACTGCTCACCCTCACCCCAGATACATTAGCAGGGAGCCAGTTCAGAAGTGGAGAGGCAGGATTCAAACCAACACCCACATGGGATGCTGGCACTACAGAGGAAGGCTTAACCTTCATGATGCCAGACCCCAAGGCTGCTTGCTTCTTAAAAAGATCCTCAGGCACTATCTTAGCAAACTTCCTACAAATGTAAAATCTCAAATTATTAATTTTCCTTTTGTATTTATTGCTGGAGGTTTCTTTTTAATTATAGAAATGCTAGCCATTTAAAAAGCAGAGATTAAAAAAAACCAACTACCCACCACTTAGCTATGTGCCAACATCCTTCTATGGTTAGATGCAGCCACCCTCCACTTATTTTCCTGAATAACTTACAGCACATTCCAGATCACACTGTTTCATCCAGATCTACTGTGGCTATTTCACCCAACAAGCCAACTTCTCAATATACCAACAGGCCGTGTTCGGTTTTCCCAGATTGTCTTGTTACAACTCCTCTGTACAGTCAATATTCACCAAGGCCTGCCATGGCTTGTATAATGGCCTGGGTGTCCCTGCCAAGATTTGTGTTTAAGGTCTTGGTCTCTGGGGTGGTTCCACTGGGAGGTGGCAGCAACTTTGGGGAGCATGTGGGGTGTGGGAATGTGGTGGGAGGTCCTGAAGTCATGGAATTGCTGAGGGTGGTTATTGGGTACAGAGGTTGAAATGCCACCTGGGACACCCATATCCCATTGTTGGGTCCCTGTCACCCATATGGGAGACCTGGATTAAATTCCCAGGCTCTGGCTTTGGCCTGGCCCAATCCCAGCTGTTGCAAGTATTTCAGTGAGTGAAAGATCTCTCTCTCCTTCTCTCTCTTTCCCCCTCCCTCCCTCTGTCTTTCTTAAGATGAAACTATGCGATCCCCAGCTGTCTCCACCTTCCTGTCTGCAGATGGAAGCTCATCCTTAAACACTCACTCCTCTCTGTGAAGTAACTGGAACCAGAAAGGCCCTTGCCAGAACTGACCGATGCCAGTCAGTGGACTTGAAACATGAACTTTAACCTCCAATAGTGTGAGATAAGTCAACCTTCACATGGCCATCTTCTCCCAGGAGAATGTTCTCGCTGGGAATACTGGACTCAGTAACCCTCACTGAGACCCTGGTGTGAATAAACCAGGATTATTTGCTCTAGACACCAAGACATCATTCACATCATTGAGTGTGATGAGGACATCCCCACTGTTCAGGACTGAAGAGGGAGGCAAAATGACCCAAAGCCTGGGGCTCATTCTAAAGTCCTTCAGCAAAGAAGGAAGGGAACAGGGTGGAGTAAATACAGCAAATACAGTTATTCAGTTAGGTTTTTGCAAAGTGTGTTAAACTTCTTCCTACTTCTGCCAATATTTAAAGTTTTTCACAGTGACATTTCAATTTTAAAAGTCTATTGTTGGTGCCAGTGTTGTAGCGCAACGAGTGAAGCCACTGCCTGCAGTGCCAGGATCCCGTATGAGTGTCAGTTCACTTTTGATCCAGCCCCTGACACCCGGATGGGAGACCCGGATGAAGCTCCTGGCTTCAGCCTGACCCCAGTCCCAGCTACTGCAGCCTTTCAAGTAAACAGATGAATCTCTCTCTGATTCACTGTGATCCTAGTTCTGTCTTTTAAGATTAATGTTGGCAGGCATCATTCCTTCCCTGCCTTCAGGAAGCAATGCGCTTTGGATCACAGCTGTGCTTGTTCAGTGCTCACATGCACAGCTGCTTCCCTGCATAACAGCAGAGCCACACAGCTGTGGCAGACACTGGCAAAGCACAGCGTGTTTGGTTGGCAGTGCAGCTTTGTATGGAAAACCTGGGCCAAGCCCTGAAGCAGGGCAACCAACAAGTTCAACCCCTTCTTCAACAGAGCAGCGTTTGAAAACACGCGAAGGATCCTGCTGGTGCCACGGTGCTATTAGGGCTCCACCCTGGATGCTGGCAGCCCATATCAGAGCACCCAGCCCTGCTCTGCTTCCAATCCAGCTCCCCAAGAAAGCAACAGAAGATGGCTTGAGTGCTTTGGCCCTTCCACCCACGTGAGAAGCCAAGGAGGAGCTCCAGGCTCCTGACTTCAGCCTGGCCCAGCCCCAACCATTGTGGCCATGTGAGCAGTGAACCAGTATATGGAAGACCTCTCTTCCCCGCCCCCCCCCCGTCACTCTGCCTTCCAAATAAGTGAAGTATTTTTTTTTAAAAAAGGCATACATGAAGGTTATGTCTTTCCTTACAGGAAGAATGCTCATATGACATGAAGCACCAAGAATGCTCCCAGGCACCCAGCCCTGAGGGTCAGTGTCCATGAACACAATGCCCAGTGTGGACCCCTGCATGATCCACACCCACCCGAGCAGCGCCTTGGCTTTGGGGAAGCTGCAAGGCAGACGCACCCGGCCTGAGCTTGGAACCCCAGCACAGATCTGTGGGCATGCCCAGTCCATCACCCCCTGCAGTTCCCTGGACAAATACCTGGATCCTTGCCACGCGCCGATAGGACACCCCGGCCGGATAGGAGAAGGTGATCGTGGTTCCATAGGAGTCTTCACCATCATTCCGCACATTCACATCCAGGTTCAGCTCCAGGTGGTTCCCCACGAGCAGAGTCTTCAAGCTGGGGATCAGGAGCAGGGAGAGGAGAGGGTTCTGTGACTGCAGAGAGAGAAAGTCTGGGGACAAAGCATGGGTGGGATGGGAGATGGCAGAGCTGGGAGGGAGTGCCAGGACACAAGGATGGGGTTAAGGAGCACCTCTCACCCCGAGATGCTGAAGGAGATGGCAAGGTCGTCCTGGCAGATGTGGTCAGCTCCACAGTTCTTCTCAAAGGGAAGCTGAGAGAAAGGCCACAGGGCAGGGCAGGGAGAGGGGTTTCCATGCCGTCCAGAGTCCCCCCTGTCCCCCACCACACACAGAAACCCTCACCCCACAGCAGGACTCACAGACGCCGTGAAATATCTCTGAGCATCCATGGCCAGCATGGGTCGGAGTTGTCTAAAGGAAGGGAGGGGGCTGCCCACCAGAGAGAAGTTGAGACGCAAGATGATGGGGGTCACGACATCTTCCACACAGGCCTGGAAAACCACGAGTGGGGAAGGGAAGTCACCGGCTGCTTCGGCCTCTGCCTCTATAACGTGGGCAGCACCTGTCCTCCACGGGCACTCAGCAGTGTCCTGCTAACCACAGCCTGGGCCCTCACTGGCCCCACCCAACCCTCTCGCTTTACTCAGCATCTTCTCCAGTTTGCTCGCCCAAGAGGCCCCCCGAGGATCCCCTCTGCTGTCTGGCCCAGTTTTATCTCCCTCCCCTGTCTCTACCACCACCTGATGTCTATCATCTAAAACCTGGGTTTGCTCTCCCTCCCTCACATGCCCGTTTGTCTCCTGTCCTGTCTCTATCCTGGAAGAGCTGTTGGATATATCTATGTCCAAAGAATGACTGAAGGAACGGGGCTCGGAGCTCCCATGCGCATGCTCCCGGGCAGCCACATCCTCCCGCCTGCCAGTAGCTGAGAATCTCTTACACTGGAAGATGATTTCATTCACTCAGTCATTCACTCACTCATCCACTAATAGGTGGATGATGCTTGCAGGGGGCTGGACTGAGGCTGAGCCCCACCTCCCGAAGCCCCTCACCTGGAGGAGCAGTGGCACTGTTTCACAATGCTGCTTCAGCCCGAGGGTTTGGTGTCGCCTCAGAGTCCACAGGTTTGTCTCCTTGAAGAGGGCACGGGGATTCAGGCGGCCGGGGTCCAGGGCAAGGTCAAAGGTCACAACACTTTGGAGATCATCTGCAGGGACAAGCAGTGTGTGGAGGATCCAGGAATTGCAAGAGGCAAAGCGGGAGACAGGAGTCCATGGCTGGGAGTGATATGGGGGCTGCAGAAGTCAGAGGAAGGGAAGACTTACCCAGCTGGGTCTTGGAAATTTCGTAAACACGAAGGCAGATGGTAGCATCCCCCAGGGCCTGAGCAGGGGCCACCTGCTCCTGACACTCAAACACAGACCTTGCCACCTCTGTAGGTCTGAAGCCCATGTCCACCTTCACCCTGAGGATAGGTCTGGTCCTGAGGAGCAGAAGCCAGAGTTGACCATGGGTCCCTGTCCTCAGGGAGCACAGCCTGCTCTGGGCTGGGGCAGAATCCTCATCTGGACCTGGGACCCCACTGGAAATGTTCAAGGAAGCCTGGACTCACCTGAGCAGCAGCACTTGTCCCTGGGCTCCCACGGCCAGGTCCACGAGGCCATCCCCAGTGAGGTCCTGTCCCCCGCTCAGAGACTGCCCAAAATACTGGAGCCCAGGGGACAGCTGGGAGCCTGTGATCCTCTGGGCAGAGAGGCAGGGGAGTCAGGGCAGGGCAGGCTGCTATGCATCAGGGGCAGTTTATCCTCCATGGGTCCAGGGTTGGAGGCTTGTGGAGGTGGTAGTCCCTGCCAATACCGGCATCCCATAGGGGCACTCCAGTGTCCTGGCTGCTCCATTTCCCATCCACTCCCTGCTTATGGCTCAGAAAAAGCAGCAGAGGATGGCCCAAAGCCTTGGGATCCTGCACCCACATGGGAGACCCAAAAGAAGCTCCTGGATCCTGGCTTTAAATTGGCTCAACTCCATCCATTGCGGCCACTTGGGGGGTGAATTGGTGGATAAAAGTTTACAAGAAAAACAAAAGAGCTATAATGTGATACAGACAATAGCTCAACCTGCAAGTACCAACATCCCATGTGGGAACCAGGTCATGTCCCAGCTGTTCCATGTCTGGTCCTGTTTATGGAAAGCAGTGGTGGATGGCCTAAGACCTTGGGACTCTGTACCCATGTGGGAGACCCAGAATAAGCTCCTAGCTCTTGGCTTCTGATCAGCTCATTTCCAGCTTTGCAACCAGCTGGGCAGTGAACCAGGGGATGGAAGATATTTCTTTCTGCCTTTCCAATAAAAAATAGATAAATCTTAAAAAGAGAGAGAGAGAGAATGAGAGATGGAGCCTGGTAGGATATGGGCGAACCATCAGGGACGTGGCAGCTTCACTTAACTTTCTGAGAGTTGTTGTAAAAGGCCATGACCCACCCCGTGCTGCCATCTCTGGCTTCCTGTCCTGCCAGGCCATCTCCACCTCTCACACATCCTCCAGCAATGATGTCATCTACAGTGGTGTGACACAGCCAGGGAGCCCTCATTGGGGCCAGGCCTGTGTTGCTAGGTCTTCTCACACTGTGAGCCAAAATGACAACTCTTTTCTTTCTATAATACTAGACCTCAGCTATCTTATTATAGCAACTGAGTATGGACTAACAAGGAAAGGAAATAGTGGGAAATCAGAAAGAGGAACAAGCAGGTGGGGAGAAGACAGAAAGAGGAGTAGGCACTGGCAAAGGCCCCCTAGAATGGCCTCAATGGGAGAGGCGGGAGTGAGCAGGTGACTGGGAGGCAAAACCTGGTGTTCCCCAAGTGCAGAGTCAGGCACATGGCAGAAAGCAAGGCAGTGGCCAGCTGGCTGTGGGAAGGGCTGGGCGAAGCAGGGGGGAGGCTGTGCAGTGACAGAGATGGTGACCCACCTGGCTGTAGGTGGGGCTGATGTCCAGCCCTCGGGTTCCATGGAATAGGTAGACAGCACCCTGATTCTCTTGCTCTCCTGGGGCCCCGATGGCCACGTCTGTCAGCTCATCTTCATTCACGTCCCCTAGCACCGTTAGGGCTGCCCCAAAGCGGCTCCAGGGGTGGCCCTGTTCCCCACGGAGAATGGCCTGGCACTGCCACACAGCCCGCTGTTGAATGAAACCAATGTCAAGACTGTGGCCAGGCAAACACTTCGCCTCAAACCAGGGCAGGTCCTTTGAGCCACTCACCCCCTTTGGCAAGGGACACACAAACACGCGGCCCCCTCGTGTCTGCTCGTAGTAGTGGGGGGCCCCAATGAGGACCAGGTCGGTGTTGCCATCTCTGTCTACGTCTACCGAGCACAGGGAGGCCCCAAAGTAGGAGCCGATCTGGAGGCAGAGGCTGTGGTCATCCGCCTGCCCCCACCACGACACCGCTTCCTCTGCCCAGGTACCAGCACCCACCCTTTGCACCCCAGGTTCCCTCGCCTTCTCCCCCTGTGCCTCCTTCCCACCCTTTTGCCCGTTCAAGCTCCCTGCACACTCACCTGGGACCCCACGACCTCGGCCCTCGGCTCCCACTGCGTGGACGTCTGAGTGAAGAGAACGACCTTCCCGGTGTGCTGGTAGCGAGGCGCCCCCAGCACCAGGCTCTGCACCCCCTTCCAAAGGGTCAGCTCACTGGAGTAACCTGAGGGGGCAGAGCTCAGCACCAGGCTGCCTTCCTGGCTCTCTGGCTCCTGGCCCTTCCCTCCCACCCCACCCTGGCCTTTCCTCACCCAGGTATGAGTCCCTCATGTCCACGTTGTACTGAGACACGTTGATGAAGGTGGGATTCATGCCTGTGGGGTACAGGAAGGCACCCCCAGACCAGCTGAAGCTGCCCACAGCCCCCAGCACTGGGCCATCCTGGGGAAGGAGGAGGAGGGGAGGATTTGGAGGCTGAACGGGAGTCTCTGCCCAACCTACCTTTCTGACGCATCTCCCTCCTGTGCTACCCTAGCGGCCCCACTCACAGTCATAAACAGTGCACTGAAGCCCTCTTGGGCCATCTCCTGCTCAAAGGAGCTGCTCCTGGTGGTTTCCGTCCCTGGGGAGAGGTACAAGGCTTGTGTTTGCTGGGAGACAGACAGGCTCGGCTGCCCCTCCCCTTGGAGACCAGCCCCTGGCTGGTGCCCGTGACAGTGTTATCTGGGTCTAATAGGAAAAGCAGTGATGGAATTCTCAAAAAACAAACAAACAAAAAAAACCAACTTTTTTTTTTTTTTTTCATTTGGAAGGCATAGCAATGGAGAGAGAGAGACAGATCATCCACCAACTAGTTATCTCCCCGAAATGCCCGTAACAGTGGGGCTGAGCCAAGCCATAGCCAGGAGCTCGGGGGGCAGGGACCCAAGTACTTGGGCCACTTCTCACCAACTCCTAGGATGTGCACAAGTGGGAAGCTGGAGGAAAAGTGAAAGCAAGGCCGATCCCAGGTGTTCTGAGTGGGATGTGCACGCCCCCAGGATTGACTTAGTCCTCTGGGCCACCGTGTCTGTCCCCATGGCTACCTATTTCTGAGTGGCATCTCCATCCTGAACTCACCCTCAATGGCAAAGATCTTCTCCTTCAGCTGGTTTTGAATTTCCCTCAATGCATCAAAGTTGTCCACTCTAAATACGTGTTCTGTGGAGGGCTTCGAGGCAATGTCATCTAATTCCTTCCGGGAATTGATGCCTTGGAAAGCAGACCCCACCTGTTCCCAGGAAACCAATCAAGTGGCTATGCCTCAGGTGTACTGGACACTCCTGTCTCCAAATAGCTCTGCAGGGTACAGACAGCTCTCAGAAAAAAAAAAAAAAAAGGATCCTGGACCCCCAGGCCAGGGGACAGCTTTCCTCCTTGGGACAGCAGGAGCAAGAGAAACTGAGGTTCCATCACGGAAAGGAGAGTTGCTCAAAGAGACAGTCCCAGGCAGAAGAGGCGGATGCACACCCCCAAGCCCTACCCCAATTGCGTAGCGAATAATGCCAGCATTCTCAGCCAGGGGGATGACTGCTGGGTAATCCAAGGGGTCTCTATACTTCTGGCCATCAGTGATGACGATGAGGATCCTGGTGGCATCTTTGCGGGCCCCATTGGAGTCAATGAACACATTCTGTCTGTTGGGGAAGAACAGGATCCAGAGAACTGCGAGCACTCACCCCAACAGCAGTGTGGAATGAGGAGGTGCCCCTTCCTCCTGGAGACCCCAGTACCCCTCTGGGAAATCCCCAGCTTGGCAAGACGGGCAGGGACTGGATTTCAATGCTGGCCTGGCCTTTTCTTGGGAAGACAGACGAAGCCCAAATAAACACCTTGTAATGACCACCCTGGGAATAGCCAGGACTCACACAACCCATTGGATGGCTGTAGCCGTGTAGGTGGCCCCCCCTAGCTTTGGCACAGAATCCAACAAGCTTAGAGGGTCTGAGCTGGAGATGAAGTTGTTGAAGCTGAAGTGCATCTGGACACGGTAGGAGAATTGCACCAGGGAGAACTAGGAGAACCACAGAGGCTGGGGTCTGAAGCTGCTCTGCCAGAGCCCCAGCCCTCTCCCCAGTCAGATCCCTTAAGCCTTGGTTTGCCCCAAGCCCAGGCTCCCCGCCCCCGAACCCATACTTGGGTGCTGGGTCTGGAGAACTGGGTCATCACAGCCCTCACGAAGTTCAGCATGATGGCAAAGTTATCGAGGGTGATGCTGCCCGAGCCATCAATCAGGAATGCAATGTCCTGCTCCTGCCTGGGGCACTCTGCAGAAGGGGTGACACCAGCCTGTAAGGGACACTCCCAGAACATAAGACCTCAGCTTTACGGCCATCAGGGTTGGACCATGACCTGGTCCTGCTCCTGCTCAGGAGCAGGCTTCCTACCACTCCTGCCTGGAGAAGGGCCCATCAGTGCCCAAAAGTCCCAGAAAGAGGCCATGCCTGGGATGAGCCATAATAGGCCCCGGCATGGTTGCATTAACCCAGGGAAGCCAGGCCCTGTGCCTCAGCCTGCAAATGCACTCACAGGCACACACACAGCCATAGATACACATGTGCATGCACTCCACCATATATGCACCTGGGCATACACACAAACACACATGTACACACACACATATTCACATTCACATGGGTATATACAGCCACGGATACACACGCACACACCCACACAGCCACAAACACGGGCACACAAAACCTTGTGCACACACATACACACAGATACATGCATACACGTGGTCATATATACACATGGGTGCACACACATACACACACTCATATGCACATGGGCACACACAACTGTATACACACGTGGGTGCCCACGCACATATACACACGCTACTGGCTTCACCCTGACAAACTAACTGGTGAGCCCCCAGGATGCACCGGATGCTGGGGACAGCAGCTAAGGACGTTAATTGAGTCCTAACCTCCAGCTGGGCACTGTGCTACACGTTGGCCATGGATCAGTTCACACTACTTGCAGTGCAGGGTGTGTTATCACCCACATCTGATAGAAAAAGAAACTGAACCCCCAGAAAAAAGAAACAGAACCTCACCAGAGAGAAAGGTCCCTGGTGAGGTCACAGAGCAGGAACGTGGCGGGGCTGAGCGTGACAGTGGGCAGTGGCTCACTGTGCCACTGCATGACTGTCCCAGAGCCTCCGTTCCCTCTTCCATCTGACAAGAATGCCCGTTGCAGTCCAGAGTGGGTGTGCACGGATCCCCCAAGGATCTGGTGACCCCAACACTTACCTTGCATGGCAGCCGGGAGCCTCTGGGACAACTGGAAGGGGTGGCTCAACAGGAAACACAGACCAGTCAAATGTATGTTCTCCTTGCATGCATGCTGCACCGTGGGACCACAGGCCTGGGGACAAAGGGGGCTTGTAGAGGGGCTGTCCATGTTCCCTCCCACCATCCCAAACCAGCACCCACACCTTCCACAAGGCCCCCTGCCACAGGCCTGGGTCCCCACTCCTTGTCTTAGGATCCCTCCTGTGAACTCACCAGCAGCCGGGAGGGATTGGTGGCAGCTGCCAGGGACAGGCCCAGGGACATGTTCACAGCCTCAGGGGGCACTGGGTAGCGAAGGGGGGAGAAGGACAGACATGCGTATGGTCACCCACAGGGGATAACCATAGGTACCAGGCAGGGGTTCCCTTGGCCTGTGGGGACACAGAGGTCTGACAGGTCAAGGGGCACCTGGGTGGTGGGAGAGGAGCAGGGAGGCGCTGCCGAGCACAGCAGGGGCATCTACAGACAGAAGAGAGGCTGAGGAGCTAATCTCCAGACTCACACTGCTCCCCCAGAACACAGACATGACGGGTCAGCCCAGGTGTGTTCCCTGGGACTGTTGGGGGCTGGGGAGCGGGTGGGCAGTCCCAGCCCTGGGCCCCAGGCAGGTGCAAAGCTCACCCTGCAGGTTGATGGGCTCACATGTGCCCGTGCCGTATTTGCACTGGTAGAGGCCGCCTGTCTGGTTGGCCGCCGTTATTTCCTGGGGGGCTCCAACCACCACCCTGGTGGGAGAGAGGGACAGAAAACACTGCAGTCACAGCAAGGACACCAGAGCCCAACCGCTGCTCCAGGGAGCTTGGCCTTGGTCTTCCCATCTGTGAATTCCATGACAACTTAAACTTTCATTATTGGGCAGACTTTCTGTTTCGTCCTGTGATGTATGCCCAGCTCCCGAGATGCGCAGTAGGCAAATGTCTGTTGAATGACTGTTCAGCTGGTCCTACATCTTAAGACCCATTCAGGGTCCTGCAGAGCGTGCCCGGCACTATGGCTGGTAACACGGTAAGTGCTCAATAAAAGCTGTGCTAGAACAGTGCCCGCTATCCATCCCAGGGGATGGACACATCTGTCAGAGCAAAGTTTGCAAATAATAGTAGAGTGAGAGGGAAGAGGAGCTGGCCTTAGCTGGTCATCCCTGGGGCCTCACCACGAGCCGTCGTACTGGGCCACGCTGTGTCCAAAGCCAGCACTGGGCATGCGGAAAGTGCTTGGCTGCTCCGTTTCCAAATTGAAGCAGAGAACAGAAGCGACAGCTAGGAGGAAGATGCAAGAAGAGAGCTTGGAGCAGCTTCTCCTGTCCACCCCTACCTCACCACCACACACTCAGGTTCGTTCCGCCCCTCCTTGATACGGCATACGGATGGCCCTCTACCACTTGCCCGGGAAAGCCTGGGATGACTCCTGACATCTCCCCCAGCAACCCTGGAAGTCTCCCCACACTGATTCTTCAATATCCTCTCCCTCCACAAACTCCAGAACCCACTCGTGTCTGAGCCTCACTCCCCACCAGGTCCTTGGTCCCACCTGCTAAGACCCCCTAGGGAGGAAACCCTAGGTCGCTTGGATCCCTGAGAGCCCTCCTCCTGGGGACCCAAGTTCACCTGCAGACAGCAGCAAGGCTGTGCTGGTTCTGCTCATGGCTGGAAGGTGCAGGCTGAGGCTCTTGGCTTCTGGGCAGCAGCATGAACAACTGGACCAAGGTACAGAGGAAGCAAGAGAGTAGTCAAGAGTGGTCAGGTGGCCCAAGGCGGGGAGGGAAGTGGGCAGAATGACTCAGAGCAGGAGGGCGGGGACCGTGACCGAAATGGGCAGAAGCAGGGGCCGGGGCAGCCCACATGAGAGCAGGCCCAGTCTCCACTCAGAGCGCCCCCTGGCCTTGCCTTGGCTGGACAGAATGCCACTCACCTTTTCCCAGTTCCCTCCTTGTAACATCAGAAGGTTCCCCTTGACCTCGAAGTCCTAGACAACCTGCAGAGGGAGACAGCAGTCCCTGTGGACCTCCATGGAAATGCTGGTAGAAACCCCTACTGCAGACCTGAAATCTCCGTGCTCCAAGATCTGGCATCAGACCAAAGGAGGAGTACAGAGTATGTGTGCCCGTTCATTCATTTTCTGTTCTTCAGCTCACATAGGTAGGGCTGAACATGCCAGCATCTGCCCTGTGCTGTGGGGAGCAGGCACAGACTACCAGCCCCAGCTATGGGGTCAGAACAGGTGGCAAGAGCTAAACTAAGAGTGGCAGGCTGAGAGGGAAGTCAGAGGTCAGAGGCGTCTTCTCCTAGTGTGGTCGCTTTCCAGGGAGGCTTCCAGAAGGAGGTGTCCTTTGGGCTGGTCCTTAAAGGAAAGGGAGGTGGAGACTCCAGAGAACCAGGTTTTAGAAGAGATAGTAGCCGGTTATGGCTGTGCCATCAGCCCCCCTCCCCCCCCAAGAGCTGCGACAGAGCGGGGAGGTGGGAAGGGATGTAGACGGGGCTGTGGCAAGGAGGGGGAAGGGGAAGCAGGCGCTGGAAACCCCCTGAGGCCCTGCTTCTATCCAGGGAATGGGGGAGGACTGAGCGGTCCCTGTGTCCTTGGAGAAGGCTACAGGCCAAACCGCTGCAGACACATCCACCAGCGGGGAGAGGCTGGGGGCCTGCGGTGGACCTGCAGACGGGGGCTGAGGCCAGCTGACCGGAAGCAGAAGGGTGGTAGACCCTGAGCCACAGAGCACTGGAATACAGAGGGTCTTGGTCAGGAGACTTCAAGCTGTGGGTTTTGTGTTTTGTTGTTGTTGTTACTATTTGTTAGGGTTTTTTTTTTTTTTTGTCTCAAGATTTTCATTTATTTATTTGATTTCTTTGAGCAGTGGAAAGGAAAACAGAGAGAAACTTTCCATACATTGGTCTGCTCCACAAATGCCCGCAGCAGCCAGAGCTGGGCCAGGCTGAAACCAGGAGCCAGGAGCTCAGTTTGAGTCTCCCATGCAAGTTGCAAGGACCCCACCACTGGAGCGATTGCTTGCTGCCTCCCAGGAGAGCTGTCAGCAGGAAGCTGGCATCAAGCCAGCTGAGGAAGATCCACAACCCCAACCAAGTACTGGGATGCTGGACACCAGCTTAACTATTAGGACAAATACCACCACCACCCCCAATTTGGGGGATTATTTTCCCCCTAAGATTTATTTGTTTATGTGAAAGGCAGAGGAAGCAAGCAAGTGAAATACAGAGATCTTCCAGCTACTGGTTCACACCCCAAATGCCCACACAGCCAGAGCTGGGCCAGGCTGAAGCCAGGAATCAGGAGCTCCACCCAGGTTTGCCAGGTGGTTGGCATAACTCCAAGTACAGGGACCATCTTCCACTACCTTCCCAGGTTGGTAGGAAGCCAAATTAGGAGCAGAACAGCCAGGACTAGAATTGACTCCATCGTGGGATGGCAGAACCACTTAACCTGCCGAAACAACACAGCAAAACAGAATACAGTGTTCAGGAATGCTAGGAAGAGCACATTCGGGTTTATTTTGGGGTATTATCGTTACTGCTCCATGGCTGTTATTGAGAATGCAGCAGGTTCCTGGGAAGCTCCAGGAAACGGTAGGATGAGGGGATCTGGCAGTTGGAGCCCGAACTTTGGAGCCTCCACAGAGGGACCAGCTGAAGCGAGAGGGAGAAGATGGGCCAAGGTCAGCAGCCTGAGGACTCCTGGAATCCCCAGGCAACAAGGGGCTATCAAGGGTCTCTCCAGGGTTGGAGGGTGAATAGCTGCAGGGAGACACCCAGTCCAGCATGCCCTGCAGCTCAAGGTCCTGCAATGCGAGGCTCTGCAATGTGAGGAGACATGCGAAGGTGGCAGACTGGTTTCCGAGAAGCAAATAGGGATACAAACCCCACTGAGAAGAAAGAAGAAGTGGTCTAGAGCCCCCTGATGGCGGAAGCAAGCCGGAAGTGGCTGTGGCCGCTTGAGGCTGGGCCGTGGTGAAGAACCAGGCAAGGACCACAGACCCCTGGCCTGTCCTCCGCTGCACCCTGTCCCCAGGGTTGGGCTGCTCTTGATGGGGGAGGAGGCAAGAACAGGGATGGGCAGAGCCCCACCCCTCCTCCCAAAGAATCCTGCAGTCGCCAGGATGCTCCAGGCACCGTGCAGGTGGATCTGATTGGGGACCTGGGAGGTAAGGAGGCTTTGGGCAAGGATGGACTTGGGACACCCAAGGGTGGCGAGCAAATGGGAACTTCACTCAGCTACCCCATTTTACAGATGAGGGTGGTGTGATCCTGCCAGGCACGCCCTTAGTCAGCTCTGGTGACAGGGCTGTGTCAGCCCCGGGAGAAAGCAGCTGAGGGGATGACACAAACATGAGTCACTCACCCCCCTCGGTCCCCACCATCTGGTACCCTGGAACCTGTGGGCGAAAGTCAAGGGGGCAGGGGCAAACAAACAGAGCTGGAGCTGCTGCATGTGCAGCCCCAGCCAAGTGGGGCCCAGTAGTTCTGGGTCTGTCTCCAGGGCTGATTGTGTTCCATGTAAAGACAGGAACAGAAATCAAGTGGGCAGAAGCCCCAGCATTCCACCCCAAGCAGCGTAGGATTAGCCTACAGCCTCTGGCCTTCCTCTTGCAGAATCTACTCTCACTTCTCCATCTTGGAAGGCTGCACTCCCACATTTTCTCTTGTTTAGCGCTGTTACAAACATCCAGGTATGTGCTGGAAGGCATGACTCTCATCCCCGTGCCCTGATCGCTGGGTGTGAGGCATGACAGTAGGACCTGGGGGAACTTGTGTCATGAAGCTTAGAGAATTGGGATCCACATGGGAGAGACAGGTACAGGGTGGTAACACCGTGCTGTCTTTTACATAACTCCAAAGCCAGGAGCTTCTTCCCAAGTGGGTGCAGGGCCCCCCAAGGCCTTGGGTCATGCTGCTTTCCAGGGCCTGCTGCTTTCCAGGGCCCAAAGCAGAGAGTGGGATCAAAAGTAAAGCAGCTAGAACATATGGAGTGCTGGCTCTTGCAGGTGGAAAATTAGCCTGACACACGCCTTTGCGCATGACTTTTTAAATTACGGTCCAGCACGGTAGCCTAGTGACAAAATCCTTGCCTTGCATCCACCAGAATCCCACATGGGTGCCGGTTCGTGTTCCAGCTGCTCCACTTCCCATCCAGCTCCCTGAGAAAGCCGTGGAGGAAGGCCCAAAGCCTTGGGACTCTGCACCCACATAGGAGACCCAGAGGAGGCTCCTGACTGCTGGCTTCGGATCAGCTCAGCTTTGGCCATTTGCAGCCACTTGGGGGAGTGAACCAGCAGATGGAAGAGCTTTCTGTGACTCTCCTTCTCTCTGTATATCTGCCTTTCCAATAAAAATAAATAATAAATAAAATTAGCAGTGGTGTGTATATTTCTGGGCTACGGAGACAGATTTCGGTACGTGTATATCGGACCTGTACTGTTGAAATCCACACTGAATGTCTGGTGGTACTTGTGCTTCGAGCTTGAAACTCCTTTCTTCCACAAAACACACGGCAGGCTGTGCACTGGTCACCGCACTGTGCTGTGTTACACCAGGAGCTGTTCCTTCAATGTAACTCTGATGTGGCACCTGTCACTCTTCCTCTCCTCCCCGCCTCCTCCCGGCCTCTAGTTGTCATCGTTCTGTGTTCAGATTCAGTTTGGGGGCTTTTTGGTGGTGGTGGCAGCGGTGGTTTGGTTCTTTTAGATTACACATGCGAAGCAGAACTTGTGGTGGGAAATAGGCGTCTGGCTTATTTCAATTTACGTGCTGCCCACTGGCCCCATCTTTTTTGCTTCAAATGACTCCAGTCTTTTTTTTTTTTTTAACTGCCACATTCTATTATAAAGCACATTTCCTCTCTGTTCATCTGATGATGACTTTCTTAGTTGATTCCATGTTGGTTCATATGAATAGTACTGCCGTGAACTTGGTGGAACAAGCATCTTTGATGGTTTCATGTCTTTTGGGTCTATATCCCGTAGTGGATCATTCGGCAAGTCCATCTGCACTTTTCTAAGGACTCTACACCATTTTCCATTGTAGCTGAACTAACTTACATCCCAGTCAACATCTCCACACTCTAGCAGCGTCTGCTACTCGCTGTCTTACGCATAACAGCCATTCTAACTGGTGTGAGGTGATAGCACGTGGTTTGGATTTGTATCCCATGCTGTAGTAAGAGTGAATATTTTTGAAGTTGTGATTGTTGGCTATTTGTATTTCTTCTTTTGAGAAATATTTGTTCAGGCCCTTTGCCCATTTCTTAAATGGATTGTCTGCTTTTTGTTTCTTTTTTGGTTTATGTATGTACTTAGTCAAAAGACAGAGGAAAGCGCTTAAGAGACAGAGGAAGGACGGAGAGCAAGAGAGAGAGAGAGACAGATTATTCAACTGCTCATTCACTCTCCACATGGTCACAGCATCCAGGACTGGACCAAGCTAAAGCCCAGAACCACAGTGGTTTAGGTCTCCCACGTGGGTGGCAACACCAGTACTGGGCCATCCGCCAGCACCTTCCCAGGCACGTGAGCGGGGAGCTGGGCGGGAGGAGAAGCATAGACTGGGATGGACATTCTGCTTGGCGAGGAGGCATCGCCAGCGGTAGCTTCAACCACTGTGCCAGTGGATTTGCTTGTCGTGGCATTTTATTGTGTTTCTGGGCCCCTGCTATGGTCTGGATGTTAACCCTTTGTTGCTCAAGAAGCTTGTAAATATTTTTTTCCTCCATGCTGTCAGCTATCTTTTCGCCCTGTTGATCCGCTCCCCGGTTGTGCAGAAGCTCAGGGGTTGTCGTGAGCTCACTTCCTCCTCCTGCTTTACCCACAGCCTGCGCCCTCCACCATTCCTCCCTTGCACTGGAGCCGCTCTCAGGGCCCAGGCTCTGCGCCAGCCACTTGGATTCCCACAAGACCAGCTGGGAAAGCACCAAGTCCTGCAAGCTGCCCACCACCCATCCCAACCTTCCCATGAAGGGGATCACAACCCAAAAGCTTTACTAGACAGCAGTGTGGCGGGGGAGGAAGTGGTCAGCTCTGTTTTTGTGAGTCCCAGAGAGAAAGATAGTTTGGAGGGAAGATAATGGTCTCGAGGCGGAAACATCTACACACAGTTGCTTCATTAAGCTTGCACCTTGCCACATAAACCCTTGGGTTGCTCTCATCTGATGCATGCATTTGCTGGTGACGCCAGAATGTCCAGGTGCCCCAAGTCATGTCGCTATTGTTCTGTGCTCTGTGTTCAGCAGCTGTATCTGTGGCTAGGGGTCTTTTCCTCTTTTCATTTCATCTCTGCTTTAGAGAAATGTTGACACCCTTCCACTCCAAGCCTCGTTGTGTCATAGGTGTCTTCTGCCAAATGCAAAGAGATCATTTGTGCCTTCACTGCAGATTGCGGTTCTGTACTATTGAAAGCTTCTCAGCGGTGGCCATGCTGTGCCACAGTGGATTAAGCCACCACCTGCAGCACCAGCATGTTACATAGGCACCAGTTCAAGCCACAGCTGCTCTGCTTCTGATCTAGCTCCCTGCTAACGTGCCTGGGAAGTCAGCAGAGAACGGCCCAAGCACACATGAATGATCTGCAGGAATGACCTGGAAGAAGCTCCTGGCTTCAGGCTGTTCCAGCTGCAGCCATTGTAGCCATTTGGGGGTGAATCAATGGATGGGAGACCTCTCTCTCTCTCTGTAACTCGCCTTTCAAATAAATAAATCTTTCAAGAAAAAAAAAGGGGGTGAGGTCTCTTCTGTTTTGGATGTGACTTTTTATGTTGCAAAGTGACAGATGTGATGGCTTGACTTTTGTTCTTAATAAACAATATGAATGGGTCCTGTGGCATGGCCTAGCGGCTAAAGTCCTCGTCTTGAGCACTCTGGGATCCCATATGGGCGCCGGTTCTAATCCAGGCAGCTCCACTTCCCATCCGGCTCCCTGCTTGTGGCCTGGGAAAGCAGTCGAGGACGGCCCAAAGCTCTGGGACCCTGCACCCGTATGGGAGACCCGGAGGAAGTTCCTGGTTCCCGGCTTTGGATTGGCGCAGCTCCAGCCGTTGTGGTCACCTGGGGAGTAAATCACCAGACGGAGGATCTTCCTCTCTGTCTCTCTCCTCTCTGTATATCTGACTTTGTAATAAAAATAAATAAATCTTTTTAAAAATAAATAAACAATACTGAGTAAAAAATAATGATGATGACGAAATAGTCTGTGCCAGGCCATCACCTGCTTCCTCCGGGGAGTTCAGAATCAGGAGGGAATCCAGGACGGGACCCCAAGCACTCCACCATGGTGTCCCAAGAAGACTCTTAACTGCTTCGCCAAACCCTGCCCTGACAGCATCTTCATCAGCAGTAAGGAGTTGATACCAAGATGAATCATACAACTAAAACCCTTATCGCCCATTGGTTTTCCTCCATATAGTTCCCAGTGCTTGCCCCAAACCCTTTTGTCCTATCGCAGACTTCATTCATCCATTCAGTTAGTCCCCAGGGAATCACTACTCTGCACTTCAGATACCCAATGAACAACAGCAGCCACACCCTGCCCTCAGACACCCGACACCACACCCAGGGCAAGGACACAACATAAATTAGAACCTTTCTGGTTTGCTAGAAAGAGCCTGAGAGAACATGGGAGCTGGCGGATGACTGGAAGAGGCTCTAGGGAGAAAAGCAGCTGGCAATGCTGGCGCTCCAGCCTGCCGCCAGGGGTCGCTGTGAACCACGCTTGGTCCTCTCTGCTCCACAGGCACTGGTCACCGAAAGCTCTCCTGCCTCCCCCGCGCCAGCCAGGGACAGAGGCCATTCCCACCCAGCCAAGCAAGGCAGCCAACACAGCAGCCAACAGAAAAGAATCGGCGTTAACCTAGGAGGGAGGAGCTTAGGCCGTGTGGGGAGCATTTGGTGACTGTGGAGTGGTTGCATCTTAACATCTTTCTGGGACAAAGGAAAAAGAACAAAGAAGTAGGGCACGAAGATGAACAAACATTAGTGTTTTGGCAAAGATGTGGGCCAGAGCTTGGGCCTTGGCATATGAACTGGCAGAGAGAGTATTCCAGAAACCGGCTGGGCAACAGGTGCTGTGGTGGCACAGTCGGTAAAGCTGTCCCCCGTAACACCAGCATCCCATATTGGGGTACCTGTTCATGTCCCAGCTGCTCCACTTCCCATCCAGCGCCCTGCTCATGTGCCTGGAAGGCAGTGGAGGATGGTCCTAGTACTTGGGCCCCTGCAGCTCTCGCGGACTGCTCAGATGAACTTCCAGCCTCATGATTTCAGCCTGCTCCATTCTTGGCAGTTGCAGCATTTGAGAAATGAACCAGCAAATGGAAGATATCTCTCTCCCATTTCTAATTCCACAAATAAACAGGGAGATCTTAAGAAAAAAAAAAAAAAAAAGATTGGCACATCTTACTCCTTCGCTGTATCTGGAGCCTGGCTTGGTGGCAGGGTTATTCTCCACAGACAAGCGGAGGGACAACAGAAGTGGGCGGTCAATGTGTTCAACTCCTCTTCATTCAGCCTGGCCTGCAGATGGGGCCTGGGGCTTGAAGGGCAGTGGGGATGAGAGGCAGATAATGGGGAACGATTTCAGTCATTGTCCTCTAAGTTCTGTGCCAAAATGAGAATGCCCGCAGCAAATGCGCAAGGGAAATTGCTGTGTGTATTTATCCCGGTAGCTGAATGGACAAAATCCAACCAAGGGAGGACCTCAAAGGCTACGTAAGCGGAGGCACTGGGGACAGTGCCGTGGTATAGTAGGTCACACCTCCACCTACAGCAGCAGAATCCCATGTGGGCACCATTTCAAGTCCTGGATGCTCCACTTCAGATCCATCTCCCTGCTCATGTACCTGGTAAGGCAACACAAGATTGTGCGAGTTCCACTTCTGTTCCAGCCCACTAATACCCCTGGGAAAGCAGCAGAGGATGGTCCAAGCAGGTAGGCTTCTGCACTCATGTGGGAGACCCTGGCTGCTTGCTTTGGTCTGGTCCAGCCCTGGCCACTGTGGCCATTTGGGGAATGAACCAGTAGGTAGAAGACCAATCTCTCTGCCTTTCAAACAAACAAACAAACAAACAAACAAGCAAAAAAAAAAAAAAAGACAAAGGTGATAGGAGTACCCAATTTTGCCCAAAACTGTAAAGTCATCTGTCTGGAAAAATCTCATAGACCTTTATACAGAGACACACACACACACACACACACACGTGCGCACACACACGCACACACACAGTCCCTACCTGACCAAACTTCAGGCAGAGGTAAGACTTGGATGGAGCCCACGCACGCTGGCTCTCCTGTCTAATGCTCCCTCGCAAACAGGCCCCCTAACTAAGAAGGGACTGCCCCACAGGTGCCCCCATGAGATCTTCCTACCGGGCCAACCTGCCCGCTGCCTCCTCGTCGTATGGCCCATAAATCGCTGTGCCCATTCTGTTCTCTGCTGGATTCTTTTCATGATGTGACAATCTGTCCTCAGTTGAATTCACTCCCCATAGCAGAGCCTGAGACAAATGGTTAGTCACTGTGAGGCTCCTGGGACTTGTTTAGGAACCTCCATCCGCCTTACAACCAATAGGCTGACTTCCTGAGCTGATTTCTTGCAGCTAATAAGGTGGGTATGTCAGGCTGTAAGCCTGGCCCGGCACCCGCCACTGCAGCCATTTGGGCAGTGAGCCAGCGAATGGAAGTCCTCTCTCTCCTCTCTCGCTCTTGTCTTTCCTTCTGTCTCTATAAATCTGATTTGCAAATAAATAAGCAAATCTTTTTTTTAATGACAACAACAAAAGATCCTTTTGGGACAAATAAAACTTCAAGCTGGGTTTGGACCAGAAGCTGCCAGTTTAAAATCTCTTTTCTAAAGAAGAAAAGCTCAGACTTTCCAGGGGACACATACCTGGGGAGTTTCCCAGAAACAGACGGGAACACACATCTTTCTTCATCTGCAGCTCGCAGTCAGGGTTGAATTCTCAGAGTCAGGAGTTGCAAAAGCCAAACCTCCGCTGCCCTAAGTAATTCTATCCACTCACCTTGTCAGTCAACTACCTTGCCCAGCAGGTACCTCCTCTCCCCTGGGACCTGGGGTTGGTGCCCTCTGCAACCAGTCCCCTTTCCAAGCTCAGAACAAGGAAAGGCGCTCTCTCTTCCTGAGGACACAGAAGGTGCAAGGTAGGAACGCCTCACCCTCGCTTCCCACTCTTCACTCTCTCCCGCCTTCCCCTTTCCCCGCCCCCTGTCCCTGAACATGGCCCACGTGTGTCCATCATTTCCTCACCTTTTCAATAAACGTTATCGCTTTGTATGTTGCCTTTGTGCCTGCACTTAGAAGGTTTTTAAGTCAGAGGCAAGAACCTGGACTCTGGATTTTAGATCCTACCTAGCCCGCCACACCAATGGTTCCCAGCAGAAAAGAGCTGAAGGGAAAAAGCTGGGAGATGCAACCACGTGGGCTCAGTAGGAAGGTCCTCTGCACGGGGAACTGTCTCTGCCGCTGAAGACGGATGGAGAGAGTGAGCCTTCCTGGGTGCTGGACAGATCCCTTAGGGATCAGAGAAGTGAGCTGCTGGCCCTTGGATGGACTGCAGGTTTACCATGTGGGCAGTTTCCATCTTTAGACAAGCAGTGGTTTAAGTTGCAGACCAGGGTCGGGGGAGCGGCAGCTGCTGGCATGGGGGCTCAGCACAGTGAGCCCCCATGTCATCTCCCCCTTGCCATCTGCCCCATGCCATCCCCACTGCCTCCCTTCATGACATAAGAACAAGGAGCCCAAGGCTAACCTGCAGAGCTGTCTCAGGCAGCCATGCACACCCCCAAGGATGCAAAGGACCATTGTTTCATGGGGCACCTTTCAGTGTCATCTTAGTGCATTTTGAATAAACTGAGACTCTTCCCCCACCTCGTCTTTGGCCTCACCTGTGCCCTTCTACCTTCTCTCCTAGCTTGAGGTAGACGCAGCTCTCCTGAAGTAAGCCCCTCCTTCCTCCTATCATAACTGGAACAGGAACCCACTGGAACCACAGGGTTTTTGTATTGCCATTAATATCATGCAATTATCATTTTTATCATAAACACGCATCAACCATTTTATGTGGTTCAGGCTAATCTAACAGCTGAACAACAGCCGCCCTCTCCCAGCTCTGAAGTTGCCTTCTTCTCTGTGCGACCTCAGGCCCCTGGCGTGCTCCGTCTGAGCCTCAGCCCCCTCATCCTTGAAACCCAGAAAACACTGCACGAAGCAAATGGAGCTGCATAACACAAGTGAGAGCTACAAAGCATGCGATGCAAGGCCAGGGTCATGGTTGCCGTGCTCACAAAGGTACAGGAGACAGGTCATGGAGGGACAGCTGCCAGCTAACAGCTATCCAAAACCTGCCTTGGGGCAGGTGCTTGGGCCAGCAGTTGAGATGCCTATGTCTGTCCTATCTCCAGGATCCTGTGTTCAATTCTTGCCTCTGCTTCCAAAACCAACTTCCTGGCTATGTGCGCTCTGAGATACAGGAGTGATGGCTCAAGATGGGAGACCTGGAGTGGGTTCCCGGTTCCCAGCTGCAAGTCTCTCCAACACTCTCCCTATACCCAACCATCAGGAGCACTGAGAGAAGCAGCAGATGAATTAATTAACTTTAGGTTAATTAATTAACTTTAGGATCCCATGTGGCTACTCCACTTCCCATCCAGCTCCCTGCTGGTGGCCTGGGAAAGCAATAGAGGATGGCCCAAAGCCTTGGGGCCCTGCACCCATGTGGGAGACCAGGAAGAAGCTCTGGGCTCCTGGCCTCAGATCAGCTCAGATTTGGCCATTGTGGCCACTTGGGGAGTGAACCAGTAGACAGAAAATCTTTCTGTCTCTCCTTCTCTCTGTAAATCTGATTTTCCAACAAAAAAATAAACTAATCTTAAAAATAAATAAAGAAAAACCATCTCCATACACCCCCGGTAGCAAATGCTGTGTGTGCCCTGCCCACAACACACCATCCTATGAATTTTGCCCAAGAAGATGCTCATCTGTTAGATTTCTTTTCTTTTTTTTTTTTTAAAGATTTATTTATTTTTATTAGAAAGTCAGATATACAGAGAGGAGGACCAGGAAGAAGCAGGACTGTCCTCACTGGACAATAGCGCTGGTATGGGGGGTTTGGACAGGCTCCCATGGGTTGCCCAGCACCCGGCTCCACTCACGGTGTCTGCATGGATGAACCTGAGGGAGGTTACATGGCCTCCAATGTAGGGTCTGCTCTGTCTCCTTCTGCATCACCTAGAAGAGCTGATACCTACTCGGCCGGAGGATGGCCCCACAGCAAACCCCTTCCAGCTGAGCCTAATGCTAGAAGCATCACACACCAAGGGTTTCATATACCGCATGTATGTGCATGCACACACACACTCACACACATGAACGGGAGTCAGGCAGCTCTTTCTAGAGGGAGACAGAACTGGCCTCATCTTCTGGTGGACCTGCTTTGTCCCACAGCCTAACACCTGTGTCTGGGTCTGGGCCAAGTCCAGCTTACAGCACAGGTGGCCCCTTGGTGGGAGTGGGGGGAGCAGCTTCTACTGAGGTGGTGCCTCTTGGGGAGCAGCCTCGGCCATCATGTCCTTGTACTGCCGTTTGAAGAAGCCGAGCTGTTGGGGCAGAGGGATAGATAAGAGCCACTGAAGGTCAGGGAGCGGGTGGGGAGAGGAGGACCACTGGGGCAAAGACTGGGGCGGGGGCAGGGACAGGGTAAGCAGCATCAGTGGGGGGCCAGTTGGCACACAACATGCCTAGCAGAGCCTGGGCTGAGGGCATCTCCCACTGATCTGCTAGTCCACACCAAGCAGGCTGAGGTGCCCTGGAGCACCCACAGCCACACCGCTGGCAGCAGTCCTCAGGACTCGAGCTGCTGAGTGACAGGGCACCTGGGGACAGGCAGAAGGCCCATCCAGGGCAGGATGGGGCAGGAAGGGGTGGGACAAAGCTACCTTGTAGAGGCCAGCAGTGATGAGGGCCAGCAGCACCAGGCCCCCGATGGAGCTACCCACGATGAGTGGCACAGGGTCATGGACTTCGTAGGGTTCCACCTTGGTCTCCGTCTAAGGAGAATGCATCAGGGGAGGCAGATTCTGTGTCTTGAGAAGTTTCCTCACTAGGATCTCAGATAGTCCAGGCCCTAACCTAGAGTACGACACCCCAGCCCTCACTCCCACTCCCATTGCCCCGTCTACCCCCATCTGCCTGGTATCTGTGACCCCCAGTTCCTCCCTGCACCTGACCCTTTGTGCCCCATCCAGGTACCTGAGCCCTCACAAAGATGTCCTGGCCAGGAAGCAAGGTGTAGGCAGACTGGTTGAAGATAATCTCTGCCGTGGTCACCACCAGGAGGTGCTTGTGTGGCGTCTGTAGAAGACACCAGGGTGGCAGTGTAATCCGGGGCTGCAGATCCCATCCCAGCCCAATCATGCCTCGGGACATCCCCGCCACCATACCTTGATGTACCAGTCAAACGAGAGGTTGCCCTGGAAGGTGACGATGATCTTCTCCCGGTGGCCAATGGCAGGGATGTCACATTGGATTCTATGGCAAATGGCGATGGAGCAGTTCTGGGGAGGGAGGCAAGGTGGGGGGTGTCCAAGGGAGCACGTGCAGGTGTCAGGGAGTATAAAAATGTCCCTGGGGGAGGAGAGACTGTCCCGAGCTCCACTCTCACCAGCACCGGAGCCTTCTGCAGCTGAGCCTGGATGTCGGAGCGAGGTGGGGGTCTCTCCTGACTGTGGCACACACTGGAAAGGTTCTGCAGAAACATGACTCCATGAAGAGATGGCAAAAGCAGGTGGGGGAGGCCTGGGCAGCCCAGAAGTGGCTCCACAGCCCGAGGCAGGAGCCGGGCAGAGGAATGAGGTAAGCTTGGGGCCAGGCGGGAACTCACCGGGGGGAAGATGGGCCAGGGGTGGTCCCACACGGTCTTCTCATTCAGCCGCACAGGCACCCAGAAGACCACACTGATGGGAAGCCTCCTGTGGCCCAAGTTATTGATCTACACATTGGGGGTGAAGACGTAAGAGTTTTGCCTTTGCCACCTCCAACCCCAAGTCCTAGGTCGGCCTTCTCCTTCCTCTATCCCAGCACATTAGAAGGAGGCCCAAAGCATCCTGCACCTTCTCTGGGTATGGGCTGGAGGGAGACAACAGAGTGGAGTCACTGAACACACATCCGACTGGCAGGTGTTTGGCACACGGCTTCCGCCTGGATCATGCTGGCCACTGCAGCCATTTGCAGAATGAAGTAGAAGATAGATTCCTCTTTCTGCCTCGGTGTCTCTCTGTCTCTGTCTCTCTCTGTGTGTATGTGTTTCTCTAAGTCTCAAGTAAAGCTTTAAAAACTAAGTAAACTTTTAAAATTATTAACATGAATAGAAGAAACATATTATCGAAACAGTAAAACGAAGAAACACACATTCCAGAGCCAGAATGGCTGCAGGAAATCCTGGCTTCCCTGAGGCAGGTATTGCCAGCATCCTGGGATGTCATGTCCATCCTGTGGACGGGCACAGTGCCTTGCAGATAGATTCAGCAGGTGAAACGAGTTATGGAGTACATGCAGGGCCTGCACACTTGCAAGCCGTGGAGGCCAAATGATAGCAAGCTGGCAGCCACACCTGACACCAAGCTGGCACCAGGGGAACAAGCCCATCTCCATTTGTGCACTCCTGCCACCTGCTCCTCCCTCCCAACCTCCTGTCTTAAGGAGCCTCCAGCCCCCGGCTCCTCACCTGATACTCATGCTGTATAATATGATAGCTCTTCTCTGAGGCTGTGAAGTTGAGATATTTGGTGGAGACCTCACCACTAAAGGGAGAAGAGAGGAGGGGGAGGAGGTGGCAAAATGTCACAATAGGATCCCAGGACTGAAGTCCTGGGTCAAGTTGTGTAAGGAGCACGGGGGTGGCAAGGAGAGCTTTACTCACCAGATGTACCAGTTAGGGACACATGCACACACTTCACACACAAAGAGATACATGTGCGTAGGCCCTCAGACATATGCAGGAGCACACACAAGCACACGGCCAGGCTCCCGAACACAGTCACACAAATGGATATGTCCAGCCCCACCGGGAAGGCCCAGCACCTGGTGACCACCAAGTACACGGCATACTTGACGGGCAGCTCCACTTGGGACACAGATTTGCTGGTGCTGGGCATGTTGTTCTCGCTGAAGGGAAAGAAAGGGCTTAGCCAGCTCCGAGCTTTGAGTGTCATCCATACCTTCCTCCCGCCTCCCCGCCAGTTAGCACACAGAGTCCCAGAATTCCACCCTCAGCACCACTGCTGCCCAACACTGCTCCCCAGGCGTCTGTGGCTACTTCTTCTATCCTGTGCTCTCTGGGGAGTGAGCTCACAGCCGGTGTCACCTCCCACCACCATCAGTCACCTGGTGACACACGCCCACCTGTAGCTGGCCATCACCAACCCCTGCAATCCTACATGCGGACCAAGAATGCATACAAAAAGCATCCCGACCACCTCGTGTCCAGGCTCCTTCCAACATCTGCTACCTCCCTTCCCTCCGCATGCCACCCTCAGTCTACACCTTGGCTGGACTCACTCACAGCCTGATTGTATATCCTTCAGGCCTTTTTCTTGAGCATCGAGCTCTGAGAACACCAATCATGGAACCCACACGGTTCAGCCATCACCAGTACTCTCATCTGCCTGAGCCATAAAGTGCTAACCCCCATGATGGCGACAAGCACAGCTTTCCTGTCCGTGACTGTCGCATTGGCACTTGGTACAATGTGCTTAGTTAGTGCTTGTTGGATGAATGAGTGAATGAATGAGCCAAGGGGAGAATCAGCTACACCCTGGGCCAAGGCTAGGGCATAGCGCACCTGGTCACACGGGCTCTGAGGAGCAATTTGTTTCCCAGGTAAGCATCAGATTCCACGTAAAAGGTGATGTTAAAGGTGACCTGCAGGTGGAGGAATGAGACAGCAGTGAGGAGCAGAGGCAAGCCAGCTGAGTGCATGCTAGGTGCTGAGGAGAGATGGGAGGTGTTTTCTAAACAAAAGAAAGAGAAGGTTCTGGAAGAAGACATAGAAGCACAGTGGCAGCGCTGACCTCTGACTGGGCTGGGAAGATAGGGTGGCTGATGTTGCAGGTCATGTCCTTCAAAGTTCCAGAACCTTCAGAAGAGAGGCTTGAATGACAGATCAGCCTGCAGGAGCGCTGGTTGAGGGACGCAGTGGGGGGGCCAAGTCAGTCACCAACCAGGAAGAGGGCAGAGGACACGTGCTCCCCTCCCACTGGAAGACTCGGCTACCTGAGCGCAAAACTCCTTCCGGAAGGATAAACCAATCGGGTCGAAGATCACCTTCGTATTGTAGGAGTCCTCCCCCTCGTTTCTCACAGTGAGGGTCACACTGAAGTCCCAGGGACTGCCCACCACCAAGGTGTCCAATCTTGGAGGGACAACAAGCCGGAGTATGAGATGCCAAGAGCTGTTCTGCTGGGAAGGGGGTGTGGGCACGCGGAGAGGCACAAGCGACGGGGGACCCCTGGGCAACTAGGGAAAGGAATTCACCTCATGGGATGGAAGGTGATGCTGAGGTCATCCTGACAAATGCTGTCATTGCCACAGTTCTTCTCAAAGGGAAACTGCCAAAAAAAAAAAAAAAAAAAAGCAGCTGGCCAAGAGAAGAGACAGGGAGGCGACATGCCACAGAGCCATGAAGTCAGCATTGACAAGGTGGAGCTATGCCAGCTGGGCCAGTCACGGCTTCGGGGCTCCCCAGCCCACCCCACACACACCACCACCACCCCATACCCTTACATGCCCTGCCCCCTTCTCACCCCATCCTATCCCCCTCACCATGCCTGTGAAGAGCGTCTGAGCATCCGCAGCCAGCACGGGTCTGAGTTTCCCGAAGGAGGCCACTGGTGTCCCCACCAGAGACAAGTTGAGGCGCAGGACAATGGGGTTCATGGAGTCGTCCACGCAGCCCTGGAGGGGTGTGAGTAGGAGACAGCATGAGTCCAGGGTCCTGCTTACCCAGTTCTGGGAGGTCCCTCTGCAAGCCCGAGCATGCACGTGCTCACCGATAATGATAACTGCAGGGTCTCACACTTGGGGGTCAGCCCCAAAATCCGCGTGTGCGTTTCCGTGTTGTTCTTGGTGCTATCAAAGATGGCCCTGGGTTTCTGGCGCCCGGCGTCCAGAGTCAGGTTGTAGATGGCGGTGCCCTGGATCTCACCTGAAAGGGCAGGGTAGCACTGCAGTGAGGGACCAGGGTTTACTCAGGCCCAGTTCCTCTGCTTCTCAGCTGTGGGGCTTTGGGACAGTGGAGTCCTGGTGCCTTGTAAGTACCCGTTCGCCAGAGTGCCCATAAGGCCTCAAGCACCTGCGTCTGCCCACAGTAAATACCCAATCAGCAGATGCTGTTCTACCGAATATTAGAAGATTAATGGTGTTTTCTGTTTTTTGTTTTTTTTTTTTTAATTTGTCATGGATCCTTTACAGTGTGACAGGACTTTATGAATAATCTTAAAAGGGGGATGGTGAATTTATTTCTTTATTTCACAGGCAGAGTGACAGAGAGAGATGTTCCAACTGGGCACAACGGCCAGGGCTGGTTCAGGTCAAAGCCAGGCACTCAGGACTCCCAACTGGGTCTCCCACGTAGGTGCAGGAGGCCAATCACTTAGGCCAATGCTGCTGCTTTCCCAGGCACATTAGCTGGGAGCTGGGTGGGGAGAGCGACAGCCAGGATTCGAATCAGTGCTCTAGTAAGCAGTGCCATCATCACAGGTGTGGCTTAACCCACTGCACCACAACACCAGCTGTCTAAAGAATCCTGATGTTTTCATGAGTTTTTGAACATGTGGGCAAGTATTTCTACCAGTAATCTCGCTCTCTCTCTAGAATTCAATTCAGACGTTTGTTAAATCTCTCATCATTCCCCATAGGTCTCATAAATCTGTGCCTTATTTTTCTTTAGCTTCTGTTACTGTTGATCTGGCTACTTTCAATGGACTTATCTTCAAGTTCACTAAGTTGTCATTCTGCTTCTAAGATGCTCTTAAATCTACTGCTTCTTAATGTCGGTCGGAGTTGTTGATGTTGGAGTCTGAGGCCGTGGATTCCAGGTCCTCACTGAAGTCCTGCCTCCTTTCCTGTCGTGTTTCCTGGAGATGCTAATCACTGAGTTTGTGGGTTTTTTAAAGATGTATTTATTTATTTTTAATTTTTATTGGAAAAGCGGATATACAGAGAGGAGAGACAGAGAGGAAGATCTTCCATCCAATGATTCACTCCCCAAGTGAGCGCAAAGGTCGATGCTATGCCGATCCAGAGCCAGGAGCCTCTTCCGGGTCTCCCACGCGGGTGCAGGGTCCCAAAGCCCTGGGCCATCCTCGACTGCCTTCCCGGGCCACAGGCAGGGAGCTGGATGGGAAGTGGGGCTGCCAGGACTAGAACTTAGGCGCCCATATGGGATCCTGGGCGTGCAAGGCGAGGACCTTAACCATTGCACCATCGCGCCGGGCCCTGAGTTTGTGGGTTTTTGTTTGTTTTTAATCACAGCAGCTCACTCTGATTTCTTAAACACCTGTAGGAGTGTCCTTCTTGTCTGTTGTTTCTCTTGCTTGCCTCACCATTGTCTAAATGGAAAGTCTTAGGGGACTGCCAAAGCCCCTCTTAAACCCCTCTGTCCCCAGCACTAGGAACCTGCTGAATTCTCTACTCAACTCAGCAGCCTTTCAGTTGCTATTCAGTGCTAGCTTTCCAGGGCATTCTCAGCTTAAGAGTTAGCAGCAGCTGGAGAGGAATCTCCAGGAGAACTTGGCGTGTCTTCTTAGAGCCTTGGCTCTCAGTTCTGGCCCTGCTGGCTGCCCCAGTCTCCCCAGTATAGGAAGACACCTGCAGGAGAGAAGACTTGATCTCCTCCTTCTGCTTCTTTCTGGTCCTGCCATTACTGTCCTGCCCCACCCAAGAGCAACTCTACTCTCTGAGCAGAGGGACACGGTCAAGTTCCTGGATAAAATACATATCTGAATGTTTTGTGAATCTGTGTTTCTGCATCTACTAAACCTCTTCAAATGAGCCCTCTCTTGCTTAAAAATAAATAATAAAAAGTAAATAACAGTTAACATGCCACTTGGGGCCCTGCATCCTGCATCTCGTTTCAGAATGCCTGGGATTGGGTCCCAACTTATGTGCCATCTTGTAGGCAGAAGGTGACTCAGGTCCTCATGGTAGATCCAGAGGGAGGTTGTGGTTCCTGGCTTTTGGCCTGGCCCTGCCCTCCCTTTTTTCAGGCATTTGGGAAGTAATCTCAAAAGATGGGAGACATCTCTCATGTGCACACACTCTCACTCTCTATCCGCCTTTCAAATTTTTATATAGTTATTCACAGGTCTGAGTCCTTGGTCCTCTGAAGAACTGAGAGGATGAGGGGTACCCCAGGGTCCCTTCTCTGGTGAGGTTTGTTGGGCTTCCCCACCCAGAGCTTGCTGACTGGCGCCAAGCCTGGAGCCACTCAGAGCTTTCCTCAGCACCCCCGGGAGTCTGAGCCCCCAACCTCACCTTCTTGCAGCCGGTCCCGCGTCTTCTTGCGGAGCCAGAGGCAGATGCGGGCTTCCCCGGCCGGCTTTGCTTTTGCCTCCTGTTCCCGACACTCAAACACACTCCTTGCCACTTCCTTGGGCTTAAACTCCATGGAGGCCTCAACTCTCAGCACTGGCTGGGACCTGCGCGGACACCAAGGTAGCACATTTAGGCAGCCAGGACACTCCTTAAAAGAGGACAACATGAGGTGCACCAAAAGGACTTCTCACCTGAGCAGCAGAACTTGTCCCTGGGCCCCCACAGACAGGTCCACCAGTCCATCCCTTGTGAGGTCCTGGCCTCCACTCAGTGACTGACCAAAGTACTGGATCTGGGGGTAGAGCTGGGAGCCTGCAATTCGCTGGGTCAGAAAAGAGCAGAGGAACAGGCATTGTGGCATAGCAGGTTACATCTGCACCTGCATCACCAGCATCCCATACGGCCGGCAGTTAGAGACTTGGCTGCTCCAGTTCTGATCTTGTTCCCTGCTAATGTGCCTTGAAAAGAAGTTAGAAAATGGTCCAAGTGATTGGGTCCCTGCTCCCAAGTAGGAGGTCAGGAAAAAGCTCCAGGTTCCTTGCTGCAGTGAGGCCCACCTCTGTCCATTGTAGTCATTCAGGGAGTGAACCAGCAGGTGAAAGATTGTTCTCTATTCCTCCTTCTCTTTCTGTAAGTCTGACTCTCAAACAAATTAGTCTTCAAAGAACAAATATACCATGGAATATTATTCAGTCCTTTTCCCAGACTGAAAAAAAAAAAAAAAGAAACCAATGGAAGATTGGCTCTCTCATATGGCAGCAGCAAGATCATCATGCTATTCAGAGTACACAGAAATTATCAAAAGAGCTGCAGAAATGCAACTGGGTCCCAGTCCTAGCTCCACTTCTGAGTCAAACTTCCTCCTGATGAGCTTCCTAGGAGGTAACAGGTGATGGTTCACGTGCTTGCATCCCTGCAACCATGTGGGAGATCTGGCTCCTACCTTTGACATGGCCCAGCCTGACTGTTGCAGGCATTTGGGGAAACAAACTAGAAGATGGAACATATATTTTTCTCCCTTGGTCCCCCTGAACCCATGTGGGAGACATGAATGGAGTTTCTGGCTCTCCTGGTTTTGGCCTGGTACAGCCCAGGTTGTTGTGGCTGGTGGGAAAATTAGCCAGTGCATAGAAGACCTCTCTCTCTCAACAATACCTTTCAAATGAATAAAATAAATCTCTGGGCCCCACGTGACAGGAAACAGGAAGCGAGCCCATGAGAGGAAACCAGGACTTAGTGGGGGTGATTAACCCTCAGAATGGACCCAGTGCAAATTAAAACCACGAGCCTTTGTCCAGCAATGATGGAAATGACAATGACAGAGTGCTGCACCAAGCACAAGGCCCTTCTGAAAGGCCCCCGGATGCAGACCCTAACGTGGGAATAACCTTTGGTTTCCTGGATGTGGTAGTTTCAGTACCATACCTGGAAGAGCTGAAAAACCTTGATTCTCAGTCACCCCATCCAGCCCCACATCCCAGCTCACCATTTACCATCTCTGGGCCTGGGTCTACACATCTCTAACATGGGATCGTGACAGCCCCATGCACCTGCTGTTGTAGAAGACATTGCCATAGGGTTAGAACACTTTGAGGAGTCTCTGAAGTATGTGTTAGTGTGTTTAAAGGTTCAAAGAGGAGCATGGGTGAACTGGCCTGATGGCAGTGGGAATGTCCAGTTGGAAGAGAACAGATCAGCAAAGTGGGCACCACTCTAATAAGGACAGCAACAGGCCTCACCTGGCTGTGGGAGGAGCTGATGCTGGATCTTGGGACTCCATGGAACAAGTAGACAGCCCCTCTGTTCTCCTGCTCTCCTGGGGCCCCAATGGCCACATCTGCCAGCTTGTCCCCATTCACATCCCCCAACACCGTCATGGCTGCTCCAAAGCGGCCCCAGGGGTGGCCTTGCTCCCCGCGGAGAACATGCTGGCATCGCCACCGAGCCCGCTGCTAAATGAAATCAGTGTCAAGACTGCGGCCAGGCAACCAATGCACCGCCAGCCCAGTCCCACTCAGACCCAATCCCGTCAACAACTCACCCCCTTGGGCATGAGGCACACAGACACCTGGCCACCTCGGGTCTCCTCATAGTAGTGGGGGGCCCCGATGAGGACCAGGTCGGTGTTGCCATCTCTATCCACGTCCACGGAGCAAAGGGAGGCCCCGAAGTAGGAACCAATCTGGAAGAGAAGGGACCAAGGTCACACAAGGTCACAGGTTTCTCAGCCATCAAGGTTGAATGCCTCATCTCTGTGCTTGTCAGGCCAGCCCTTTGCAGGGGATGTGTCATTCTGCATGACACATAACACATTCTCTCTCAATGTACTGCCACAGCGGCACAGGACACAGCAGTGGGTGAGGGTCTTCCAAGGATATTATTGTGGAAAACATCTGGCAGAACAAACAGGAGACCCTTTCTACACATCAGAAGACTTTAGAGGAGGTAAGAAGGCAAGAAATCCAAAGGAATTAAATAGCTTGGATTACAAATAACTGTTGCTAGAGTGGTGCTGTGGTGCATCAGATGAAGCCTCTAGCTGTGATACCAACATCCCATATGGACACCGGTTTGAGTCCCAGCTGCTCAACTAAATGTGCCTGATGAAAACAGTGAAGGAGGTCCCCTTCCCAACCCAGGCTGTTGCAGCCGTCTGAAGAATAAACCAGTAGATGAAAGATCTCTCTCTCTCTCTGGCTTTTGAACAAATAAATAAGCATTTTTTTTTAAAAGTAACACTTGTTACCCATAAAGTTTTTTGTGATATTAGGAAATAGTGGATGGACATCTGATGGAGTGACAATGCCCACATTCCAATCCCTTCTCCACATCCAGTTACAGCTCACTACTACTAGGCACCCTCAAGCAGCTGGGCCTCTGCCATCTGTGAAGGAAATCTGAATTGAGTTACTGGGTTCTTGCTTCAGCTTAGTACAGCCCTGAATGTTGTCGGCATTGGGGAAGTGATCTACTAAATGGAAATCAGTCTCTCATCTTTCTCCCTGCTCTTCAGGTAAATAATGTTTTTAAAGATTTTTTTTTTAAACTTGAAAAACAGAGTATAAAGAGAAGGAAAGACAGAGAGGATCTTCCATCTGCTAATTCATTCTCCAAATGTCTGCAATGGCCAGAGCTAAAATGATCCAAAGCCAGGAGCTAAGAGCCTCCTCCGGATCTCCCACATGGGTCCAGGGGCCGAAGGACTTGGGCTATCCTCCACTACTTTCTCAGACCATAAACAGGGAGCTGGATTAGAAGTGGAGCAGTCGGGACTCAAACCAGCACCCATATGAGATGCCAGTGCTGTAGGCGAAAGCTTAGCTTAATTTACCATGGCACTGGCCCCTCAAGTAAATATTTTCTTTTTATAAAAATGTAGTGTCTACCCGCCAGAGAAACTATTTTTTAAAATACGTTCAACATCATTATGTAGAGTTTGTTTATAGGCTTCATTCAGTTAATCATCCATTCTTCTAATTCATTCAAGAAATAAGGGCTTGTTATTGGCTGAGCACAAGGCTGGGGGCAGGGATGGGGGATAGAGACACGGCACCTGCCAGAGCTATTAGTGTAGTAGAGTGGGAGAAAGAGTCATGAACAGATAACAGGAAGGTACAGATGCAAGGACACAAGAGTCTCGAAGGCCAGGCTGGTGCCAGGACTTTCCAGCATCGGCCCCCGAAGGCCCCTCCTACAAGACAGCAGCATACACAGCATCTGGCGGTGCCCCTACTTGAAACGTCATGCTCCACCCACTCAGCACATACCTGACTGCCTTGGACTTCACCACTGGCCTCCCAAACGCGACCATCCTTTTTGAATATCACCACCAGACCGATGTGCTGATAGCGAGGAGCCCCCAGGACCAGGCTCTGCACCCGGTTCCGCAAGATGACTGCAGAGGCGTAACCTGCAAATGGTGGTCTCACAGGCTAGGTGCTCTCCCCTGCAGATCCTGGCCCCTGTCCAATATGCAGACTCAACCCCCTTAAAAGAGAGGCAAAGTGATGGTCTCGTGTTTGTTGAGTGAAGGGAATTAAAATTCCATCTTGAACTTTCTGTCTTTCAACCTATCCAAAGGGCCAACACCCTGGGCAGTCGCTAAATGAGGCCACATCCTGGCCCCCAAGGAACCCAGAACTCCCCCCACTTACCCAAGTAAGCATCATTCATTTTTGAATCCACCCTCGTCTTGTTGATGAAGGTGACGTCATTCTTGGATGTGTACAAAAAGGCGCCCCCAGCCCAGTCAAAGCTGCCCACAGAGCCCAGTAACAAGTCATCCTGAGGAAGAGGGCAGAACAGAAAGGAGCAGGAAGGAGGAGGTGACCAGCTTTGCCCACAGAGGAGGCACTTCCCACCCAGAGCCTGTCACAGAGAGGAGCCCGGTGCCCTCACGTCTCCCCTGGCTCCTTTTCTCTCTCCCCTGACTGAGAGGAACTTACGGGGGTAAAGGCAGCACTGAAGCCTTCCTGAGACATCTCATGCTCGAAGGAGCTGCTGCTGCCCGACTGGGTACCTGGAGGAAAGCAGAGAGGCCTCAGACAAACCCTGGGTGCTCACGGGTCCGGGCAAAGGAACTGCAAAGTTCTCAGCCCTTTTAAAGGGATGGCAGCCACTCAACTCCAGCTGTTCTTGCCCAGTGGAAAGACACTTCAACAAAAACATAAATGCCATGAATCCAGATTGGATGTGAAATTCCCCAATTTCCAACTTCTTTCCTTTAGTAAAATTTACTGAGCATCTTCTGTATACAAGCACAATTCTACATCAAGGGGACACAACAGTGACCAAAAGTTGGCAATCCCTCCCAAATTTAGGGAGAAATGCTGTGAGGCTCTCTCCCTCGGCCCAATTTCTCAGCCTGCAGCCAAGACGGGCAACATCACAGTGGCAGGTCTATACTCCTTCATTTCCAGGGAGGTGGGCCATTGGGAGAGCACATGCGAGGCAGGATAGCAAATTGTTTCTAGAAGGAAAAAGGTTCTGAGGGGGCGAGGAGGGGGCCAGAAGCAGAATCAAGGAACCCCCCCTGCTCACCCTCAATTGCAAAGATCTTCTCCTGTAGCTGATTCTGAATGGTGTTCAGGGCTTCGAAGTTGTTCACACGGAACACATGCTCATCGGCTGGCTTGGATGCGATGGTATTAAGTTCTTGGAACTGGTGGAGGCTCTTAAAGGCATCTCCCACCTGTAACTCAGGACCAGAGGACACATTAAGCTCTGTCTGCGGGGAGCCACATCATCCGGAGCAAGCAAATCCCACGACACAAGAATCTGAGCCATGATTCCTCAGATGACAGTACCAGCTGGCACACAGCTGGCATGTGGTGGCACAGCAGGCTGCCACACAGGGTGTTCTGCCAAGGGGCTATGTGGGAACCAGATTCCAGCCTCTGACCCTCTTTCTGGGCCATGCTTTCTAGGCTGGCGCTGGCCCGCCCCAGAGGAGAGAAGCCCTTTTCTTTAAATTGCAGATTTCTTCCTTGCCATGCCATTCACCTGGGTTGACCGCATCCGTATGTCACCACAATACGCTCCTAATCCTGCCTCTTCTGTATCCAACAAACCACGGCTGTGTCCTTCTCTGTCTCTGAGTTCAGTCATGGGTCTTGCCTTAGCCAAAGGATGTTATCAAATGTGAGACAAAGGGAAGCTTGAAGACATACCAGCAATAATGGCACTTGTTCTCTTGCTCCTCTGCCTTCGCCCTGTCTGAACCCAGGCTAGCTCTTTGGAGAACGAGACCCATGGAACAAAATAGCCAGGCCACCCCAACTGATCCAGCCCTTCTATCTCACAGACCAACAAAGCTGACAACCCTGATACAGTGAGCAGGCGCTGAGCACAGACTAACATTTGGGGATCGCGTGTTCTATAATATCGTGTCATGGCAGGTGACTAATATTGGCACACATGGCGTACAGCTAAGCCAGACTCCACCTTGATCCTAAGTGCTGTCTGCAGACTTAGCAAAGCACCAAAGCCACACAGAAACACCAGGCCCACAGCCACATCTCCTACCCCAATGACGTAGCGAATGATCCCCTTCTTCTCTGCCCTCGGGATGACATCGTCATACTCCAAATCGTCACCGTACTTTTCTCCATCTGTGATCACCACGAGGATCTTCAGGGCGTTTGGCCTGGCTCCACTGCTGCTGACAAACAGTTCATTCCTGTGCCAAGAGGAGGAGGGACAAAGGAATATGCAGTGGGCAAGGCAGCCGCGTGACACCAAGGAGGAGCCGGGCTCTGTCCAGCAGGCGTCCTGGCTCCCGAGACCCAACACTGGGCAGTCGCCAGCCCAAGTCCAGGGCAGCAGCAAGCCTAGGGGAGCGGGCAGAAAGGACCCCCCACTGTTTTCACGAACCTTGACTGAGTTTACTGCCCAACCTACATACTCTCACTTTCAAGTGTGAAAATATTTTAAAGAAGTAAATCTAACCAGGCCTTCCTCATATTTCTCCTCAGCATTGCATCCACTCTGAAATCATCTTGCTGCACATCTGTGTCAGCCTCCCCTTTGCCTGCATACATTCATCCACCCATCCTCACCCACATTCATCCATATCCACACACTCACCCAAATACACACACTCACCTTCACCCCCACACACATTCACACTCAACCTACACACTACTCATACTCACCTACACACACTCGCACATCCACATTTATTCACATACACCCTCATGTATACATTCACATCACCCACTCTCACACCCACATGCACACCCACAGTCACCCACATGCACACACACACACACACACATTCACTGAGGGCTCCTCACTCTGCACAATCTCCAGGGGATCCCGCAGGCTTAGAGAAGCCTCGCCTGAATTTTCCCAGCCTCCCTCAGCCTCCTTCCCTCCCCTTCTCCTTTACTCCTAGCTTTCCACAGTCCAAGGTAGCCTGCTCTTCCACACACACACACACACACCCTCCCTGGCTGGAATGACCCTTCCTCTCCCCTTTTCTCCCCTTCCCTCCCAGCCTCAGCAGCGCCCTGACCCCCAGAATTTCTGTCTCTGGCTCCTCTGGTGCTCACATGACTCTGAGGATTCCCGTGGCCGTGTGTGTCGTGCCCCCCAGCTGTTGTATTGACTTCACATGGTCAATGGGGTTGGGGTTTCTCTTGAAATCAGCGAAGTTGAAGTGAATCTTGAAGATATTCGAGTACTGCATCAAGGAGAACTGGAGCCCAGCACACCTTGCCGTGAGCCTGGGGAAGGCAAGCCAGGCCAGGCCAGCCAGACCCCTCCAGCTACCGCCTCCCAACCCAAGATGGCTGGCGGGTCCCTTTCACCCCTGTCACTTAGAGCCACCTGCTTTATAAGGGACAGAGAGAATGCTGGCTGCATCCAAGCAGAACAGGAGGGAGAAGCAGAGAAGAGATGAGCAGCAGCTGACCAGTCCCAGCGCCAGCCATCTGAGTGGGTTGTCAGCCCCACATGGGCTCTTGCCTAACCCAGCCTTCTGCCCTCACCAAGGTTTTGGAGTCTCTGAATTTCTCCATCACGGTCCAGACAAACTCTTTCATCCTCCCAAAGTCTTCTCCGTTGATGCTACCAGAACCATCAATCAAGAAAGCAATGTCACTTTCCTGCTGAGGACACTCTAGGGGTAGGGGGGAAGAGAACAGGGCAATGAAAGAGGAGCTTTGTGAACACTCGACAGTTGAGTTCTCTGTGGGGCCTGAGGAGCGGAAAGCAAGGCAAGCTGCTGCTAGCTCCCTGCTGAGCAAAAACAGACAGGTGTCTTGGACCTCAGCAAAAGATAAAGACTCTTCTATTTCTTTTAAGATTTATTTATTTTTACTGGAAAGGCAGATGTCCAGAGAAAAGGAAAGATAGGGAGAGAAGATCTTTCATCTGCTGGTTCACTCCATAAATGGCTGTAATAGCAGCAGCTGAACCAATCTAAAGCTGGGAGTTGAGACCTTCTTCTGGGTTCCCCACATGGACACAGGGTCCAAGGACTTAGGCCATCCTCTTCTGCTTTCCCAGTCCATAATCAGAGAGCTGAGTAGAACAGCCGGGACACAAACTGGTGCCCATGTGGGTTGTTGGTGCCACAAGGTGGAGGATTAGCATGTTGAGTCACAATGCTGGTCCCCCAGCTGGAGGTTCTTGGCCATCCCACATGCAGACAAATTCACCAGCTTCCACATTTTCATTTGAAATAGTAAAGACTCTTGGTCTTCGACCAATGGGCAAGAAGTAATTAGGGTGGGCATTTGGCATAGCCTTTAAGATGCCATTTGGAATACCCACAACCTGTATCATAGTGCCTGGGTTCAAGTTCTAGGTCTGCTCCCAGCTGAGGCTTCTGAAAGCAAATGTGCACCCAGGAAGGAAGGACGAGAGGGAGGGAGGAAAGAAGGTAGGAAAGAAGGTAGAAAAGAAGGAAGAAAGGGGAAAGAAATGAAAGAAAATAAAAGACAAGAAAAAAAGGAAAGAAGGTAGGAAGGAAGGAATTTGGGGTGGACATTTAGCATTGTGGCTAGCACCACCACACCCCAAATCAAACTGTCTGGGTTTGAATCTTAGCTCTTCTCTTGATTCCAGAAATCAAATGTCCTTGACCATGAGAAAATGCATCCTGGGGAGAGATAGCTTATGAGTGCAATCTATGTGGCAACCCCTACATGCAGAAGAACAATCGCATTTAGCATAAAACACTCATCCTGGGAAGAAATTCTTTGAATGTGCTGTGGGGAGAGCCTCTTGTCAGAAGTTCAACCTTCACAACCCTCAGAAAATTCATGGTGGAGAAAGAATCTGTCCACGTAAAGAAAGTGAGAAATCCTTCAGCTAGAAACTAAGCCCCAGTTTGCATTAAAAAAAAAAAAAAAAGCATAGTGGGCAAAAAGTCTTGTGAATGTTGCCAGTGTGGGAAAGCTTTTGCTGCTGACAAATCTTATCTTGTGTGACACCAGAAAAGCATTCTCAGCGTAGAAGAATTCCATGCCCTGTTAACATTTGAGAATGACTTCATGTTGGGTGACCTGGAATATTCCGCAGGAATTTACACAGAAATGGTTTCTAATTTAAAGGCTGTTTCTAAAGCAGTGAACACTTAAGTGGAATATCCTTTGAAGATGTATTCATTCGTCAAATTTTAAGTGTCCTTTGCAAAGTACTCCTTTTAGACACCAAACATGTAGCAAGAAACTATGTTCCCCCATAAAAATACTTGGCACAAAATACGCATACCACAACCTGGTCATATGTGACAAACTCACGGCTAATATCTTACCAAATAAGGAAAAATTTTCCTCCTAGATCTAGAACAAGATGCCCGCCTTGACCACTCTTACTAAGCATAGTACTTAAAGCCCACGCTAGAGACATTAGGCAAGAGAAATCAAGACATTAAAATAGCTAGGAGGAAGTCAAAACATCCTACTTACAGATCCCATGCTTAGAAAATCCCACTCCAAAAGCTCCAGCAGAAAGCTACCACAATAAATGATGAACATTGTAGGATACAAAATCAACATGCAAAAATTAGTAGCTTTTATATGCTCTCTGAAAAACAATCAAGAAAATATTCTATTTATAATAGCTAACCCCCTCAAAAAAAGACCCTAGGGATAAAGTGAATCAAGGAGTTTTGAATGATCTCTACAATGAAGGTTGTGAAACACTGATCAAAGAAATTGAAGAGGCCACAAAATAAATGAAAACCCATCTTGTATTCACAGATTGGAAAAATTAATACTGTCAGGACCAGTGTCCATGTCACAACACATTAAGCTATGGTCCCGATTGTCTCCTGGGAAAGTAGCCAGAGGAGGAGAAATGCCCCCGAAAGCTCTTCAGGACTTTCAGATTTTGAACTCAGTATGTCTATTATATTGTATGACTTTTTAGGATTTATTATTAATTTGAAAGGCACAGTGGCAGAGAAAGAAAAGGATAAAGAAAGAGAGAGCTGGTTCACTCCCCAAATATCCGCAACAGCCAGGGCTGGGACAGGCCATAGCCAGGAGCCTGGAACTCCGTCAAGGTCTCCCAGGTGGGTGGCAGGGGCTCAAGCACTTGGGCCTCCCAGTTGTATCAGCAGGATGCTGGATCAGAAATGGAGCCACTGGGACTTGAACTGGCATTCAAACATGGCATGTAGGCATCACAAGTAGCAGCTTAATCTATTGTGATATGTTTTTAAGTAGATGCAAAAAAGAAAAAAACTTTTAATTACTTGAAATGAGAGTTAAGAGAGAGAGAGAGGTAGAGACAGAGAGATCATCCATCCACTGGTTCACTCCCTAAATGGTTACAACAGCCAGAGCTGGCCAGTCCACAGCTAGAACCCAGGAACTTCTCCAGGGTCTTCCACGTGGATACAGGGGCCCAAAGTCTAAGGCCATCCTCCTTGACTTTCCCAGGCTCATTAGCAGGAAGCCGGATCAGAAGTGGAGCAGCGGGATTAGCACTCGCACCTCTATGAGATGCCGATGCCACAGACAGCAACTTTATCACTAAATCACAGCACTGGCCTTGAAGAATATTTAAAAGAAGTAGTTCTGAGAGTGAAGATGAAGACAGAGATGTTGAAACAGCTGCTGAAGCCACGGAACCAGAAGAGAAGCTGGTGTCTGGTGCCCACAGGTGAGGGTGGAGGAAGGTAGGATGTGACTAGGCTGAGGAAGCCCGTGGCAGAGGGTGCAGCTGAGGGTGGCATGTCTGAGACCACAGAGCCTGGAGAAGGGAGAGGTGACTGACAGGTCACACCAGAGAGTTCAGCAATGTAGTACTGCGGGTTAAGCCATGGCTTGCAACCCCAGGATCCGGTATGAATGCCTGTTCCAGTCCAAACGGCTCCACTTTCAATCCAGCTCCCTGCTAATACTCCTGGGAAAGCAAAGGCAGATGACCCAAGCACTTGGGTCCCTGCAGCCTCCTGGGGGGACCCAGATGAAGTTCCTAGCTCCTGGCTTTGGCCTCATCTTGGTCATTACAGCCATTTGGTCATTACAGCCCTCTCTCTCTCTCTCCCTGTGTGTGTGCGTGTGTGTGAATAAATGAATAAACATTAGGAGGAGGAGAAAGAGAATGAAAGGATGGTCACTGCACACCAACATGGAAAGCATTTGACATTTGCAAAGCAGACCTGCGCAAGGGCAGCCAGACGGCAGACATCACAGGAGAGGAGCTGTGGGGTGGGGCAGGTGCGGACAGGATTAGACTCCTCTCAGGATGCTGGCGGTAAGGGGGAACAGGCAGCCAAGGAGAGGGAGAAGCGCTGTCCTAGCTGCCCATTTCTGTGGCTTACTGCTCACTGGAGCCAAGGGCACACATTCAGCGAAGGGGGAGACCCCAAAGCTCCTAGGGAGAATGAATGGCAGAAGCGGTGGATCCTTCAAGAGTCAAGATGGGAGAATCAGCCTCAAGAAGAGGGACAAACCTCCTACAACCTGCTGCCAAGTTGGCACTGTCGCAGAGCCCGGGGCAAGGAGGTTGTATAGCAGAAGCCGCCTGGGTCAGAGGAGCAGAACGTAGGGGGCCCAGTGCAATAGCCTAGTGGCTAAAAATCTGGCCTTGCACACCCGGGATTCCATATGAGCGCCGGTCTGTGTCCCAGAGGCACCGCTTCCCATCCAGCTCCCTACTTGTGACCTGGGAAAGCAGTGGAGGGTGGCCCGAAGCCTTGGGATCCTGCACCCGCGTGGGAGACCCAGAAAAGGCTCCAGTCTCCTGGCTTCAGATCAGCTCAGCTCTGGCCACTGCAGCCACTTAGGGAGTGAACCACCAGATGGAAGATCTTCCTTTCTGTCTCTCCTCCTCTCTGCACATCCACCTTTCCAATATAAATAAATAAGTTTAAAAAAAAAAAGAACTTAGGAAAGAAAAGCTATGAAAGGTATGGCAGGGCAGGGGGTACAGGGCAGGGGGTACAGGGCAGGGGGTAGGAGGTGAGAGGGAGAATGGTATCTCATTCTAGAAACAGCTTGGAGACAAAAATGAAAATGACCACACAGCTGAACCAAGGCACTTAGAGAAGGCAACTGGGAGACTCACTCAATCAGCAAACATTTGGGGAGCAGGGGTGAGGCAAGCAGCCAGGAGGATGGTCCCAAGATGCCCACCTCCTCGCATGACCCCCTCTGTTTGAGCAGGAGCTGTGCTTAGCAATTGACCTCCAAAGTTTATAATACAGTAGAAGGCATAAGAGGCTTCATCTCATTCCGGGATGTGGACTGTGGCTTCCATCTGAGGTGTCCCCGCTCTCTCTCATTCACTATTTTACAAGCTACTCCATGCAGAGGCCCAACAGCAAACTGAATGAGACCCCAGTCAACAGGCAGTGAGGAATGGAAGCCACAGCCAACAACCACGTGAGTGTGCGAGGAAGGAGACCTTCCCCCGAGACAAGCCTTCGGGTGAAACCAAAGCCCCAAGGCAGAGGCTAAGCAGACCCAGCTTCCTGATGTTACCAAGATGTTGCGATAGTGAATGCTGCTGATGTTAAGCCATGAACATCAAGGGCGACTGGCTACGCAGCCATAGACACAAGGGCATCTAGCAGTGAGCATGCCATCAATGTCTCTGCTATCTGCATTGCAAGATGGACAGGTGAGAACCAAGTACAGGCCAATACACAGCTAAAAAGATGCTGAAGTAGAGCAGGGCGACAGGAAGTGATGGTGGAAATGATTAGGAATGCCACACAGGAAAGGCCTCTTTAAGGAAATGACATCTGGGCTTAGCAGGCCATAGGGAAGAGCAGTGCCAAGGCCCTGGAGTCGGGACAGCTGGGCAGGGATCCTGGAGTGTGGGACGGTGACTAGGGTAGAAGGGCTGGAGGAAGGAAAGATATGAAGGTGACCAGGGGCCATGCCACACAACCTCAAAGACCATAGTTGGCAGACCCAGACCCCTCTCCCAACAACATCTCATTGCCCGGAGCCACAGGCAATCTCATGGCTCCATCAGCACTTCCCTGAGAGGGCAGGACCCCAATGCCCTTCTCTGATGGAACCTGGCTCGGCCATCCTTACCCGCAGACCACAGCCACCCCTCAGTTCAGCTCCACCCCCACCCTGTGATCTCCTACTGCCCGTGTCTCCCTTCTGCTGAAGGCCACCTACTTCTGAGGGTCTCCGGGAACTTCTGGGGTGACTGTAGCAGGTTGGTTCCAAACAGGAAACAGAGGCCATTCACGTACGTGTTCTCCTTGCACAACTGATGCACGGTAGGGCCGCAGGCCTAGGCACAGGGGCAGGGAAGGAACTGCCCCTGCTGCCTTCACCGGGCCCCCAAGACCCACAAGTCCAGATGCCCCCTTACCCTAAGCCCGCCCCCAGCACCAGGACCCACGACAACTCACCAGCAGCCGGGAGGGATTGGTGGCAGCTGCCAGGGACAGGCCCAGGGACATGTTCACAGCCTCAGGGGGCACTGGGTAGCGAAGGGGGGAGAAGGACAGACATGCGTATGGTCACCCACAGGGGATAACCAAAGGTACCAGGCAGGGGTTCCCTTGGCCTGTGGGGACACACAGTTCTGACAGGTCAAGGGGCACCTGGGTGGTGGGAGAGGAGCAGGGAGGTGTTGCTGAGCACAGCAGGGGCATCTACAGACAGAAGAGAGGAGATAACCCCCAGACCCCCACTGCTCCCCCAGAATGCAGGCATGCCGGGCCAGCCCAGCCCAGTCCAGGTGTGTTCCCAGGGCCTTTGCAGGGGGCCTTCCCAGCCTGGGGGGGGGGGTGGCGGAGGGGCAGGCAAGCAGGTGCAGAGCTTACCCTGCAGGTGGATGGGCTCACACTTGTGCATGCCGTGGTCGCACTGGTAGAGGCCGCCTGTCTGGTTGGGCGCCGTTATCTCCTGGGGGGCTCCAACTACCACCCTGAGTTGGGGGGAGGCGAAGAACAGATATGAGACAAGACCAGGGGAGAAGCCCTCTGCCCAGGAAAAAGTGGAGACTCACACCCCAATTCCTAAACTTCCAGAAACAAAAAAGAACAAACACAGGATTAAATGGAAAAAGATGAACTCACAAAGTGGAAAGGACTTTACTAAGAACCACAAACCTCAGAGGTTATTTGAAAATAAGTAAAGCCAATCACTTGGCTGTTAAAAACCTATTTATTTACTTACTTAAAAGAGAGTTACAAGAGACAGGGAGAGCCAGAAAGAAAGATATCTTCCACCCCCTAGCTTATTTCCCAGATGGCTGCAAGAGACAGGGCTGGACCAGGCAGACGTGCAGAAGCCAAGAGCCACGAGCTTCTTCCAGGTGGGTAGTAGGGAACACAGAAGACAAGACAAGCCAGCTCACCTAAGCCAAGGGAAGACTTGAGTACCTTATGAAAAGATGGCAAGTTGGAACAGTGCCAGGCTCTACTACAAGCACCCAGGTCTGCGGGCACACGGAGGTAGACTGGACAGCCAACAGGCCTGACAGTTTCACACGTCTTGTGTAATAAAGCCAGCAATCTCCCAGCACGGTCAGATCACTCAAGCAACATTCTCAAAACATTGCTCCCCACGCCAGCCACATCCCTGGACACTGATGTAGGGTGATGGTAAGTGTACTTCCTCCTCCGTATACTTGCCCCACCGGCCACCTTGTGGACACAGGAGGGAAAACTGAAACGTTTATCTCAACCACCTTCCCCCTACCTCTCCATCCTAATCAGAATCAGACGCCCACATGGCTCTGAAACACCCTCACCTTTGCAATGAATATTAAATTAAAAAAACAGATTTTCTGTTCATGTCATCCACTGGTAAATCTGACCGCCAGAACAGAGTGTGGGTCGAACCAGGTCCGGTCGTAACAAAAGTAACACGCAGGCTGGAATGCCAAGGTGAGGTAGCCTGAGCCGGATGCAGCCGCAGCACCCAACCAACACAAGTGAGAACTAGGAAGGGAGGCGGCAGAGCTGACAGGAGAAAAAGGGGAGGCTCCCTAGCTGAACAGCAAGTTACACTGAGGAGCGGGAGCTGGGTGGGGGGTAGACTAGACCAGGCAGGGACACAGCGCCTGTGCACCTCATGGGGATCAGATTGGGTGATAACCAGGCTAGGCTGACCAATCCCATTGGAGTAAGCTACAACCAGAGTTGGTGAGGGTTGTCGGGCTTAGTTGTAGCAACAGAAGGGTAACGGGGACAGACTGGGCTAGTATGCCATATATACTGGCAAGCCAGGGTAGGAGGTGGGCCTGGTTGAGGCTACTGTGGGCCGCCCTGACTGGGCTGCAACTCCTACTAGTTCGTGCGAAGGACAAATGCGTCCAGGGTGGAACCAGGCGGGACTGCAAGAAGACACGGGTGGAGACAGAACCGGCCCAGCAACTGCAGCCGCCAGCTGTCCGGGGCAGTGGACTGTGATGGACCCTATGCTACTAAAACAGCAGGAATCTGGACTGGGAATACCTCAAAATTTCTTCGAGGATCTTCCCATTCGAGACACCGGACTCGGAGTCCTAACCAGGGAAAGACAGGACAAATCAAGCAACAACCTCAGCCATCTGATGGCAGCAGAGACTGGGCAAATGGAGACCCTAGACGGGACTGTGTCAATCAACGAACTCTTCAATGACCACATCATGATTGGGGTGGCGAGACAGGCAACGACCCATGGATAGTGAACTATTGGAACCACTTGATCGAGTATCTCGAAGCGCACCCCACTCCCGGGACTTGGGGTGGGCGGGAGATTGGGTGGGGCTTCTTCCTCTATATCCCCCTTTAGACCTTGACCCTCTTTTACCCCAATTAAATTTGTAAGGATTGTCAAAATTAAATAAAAAAAAAAAACAGATTTTATCTCTTTTTCTGTCACTCTGCCTTTCAAAATAAGTAAATGAATTTTTAAAATTTTATTTATTTTATTGGGAAGGCAGATATACGGAGTGAAAGAGATACAGAAATATCTTCTGTCTATTGGTTCACTCCCCAAGTGATTGCAACGGCTGGAGCTGAGTCAATCCGAAGCCAGGAGCCCGGAGCCTCTTCTATTCCCTTGCAGGTGCTTTCAAGGCCACTAACAGAGAGCTGGATGGGAAATGGAGCATCTGGGACACGAACTGGCTCCCCTGTGGGATCCCAGGCATACAAACTAAACACTTTTGCCACTAGCTACCATGCCAAGCCCCATACTTTTTTTTTTTTAATTGCCATCTTTTTTTTTTTCCCCTCCAGGAATTTAAGTCTTGGAGAGAAAGTGAATGAGACAAAGGACTGTGTGTGCAATGCTTACCGGGAGCCTTCGAACTGGACCACGCTTTGCCCAAAGCCCTTCTCGGTCCCTTGCAAGATCAGTGGGTTTTCAGTATCCAGGTTGAAGCCGTGACACAAGGCCATGGCTGGAGGGAGAAGCATGAAGGCCAATCAGAGGAAAGGAGGCTGAGAGAGCAGCACTCCTGCCTGCTCTGGGCACCCCTTGACCAGGGTCACCTCACCCGGCTCAGGACGCCTGCCCGGCAGCTCCTGTGCCAGCAGCCTGCGGCAAGAGCAAGCAGGGCCAGGTGCTCACGGAGCCCCCGCTTTCTCTAGAGAGGACCACAGAATAAACACTGCATTTTCCCATGGACTTTTGGAGGTATCCTTATGATTTTTGTTAGGAAAATTCCAAAATGTGATCACCGAGGACAATTCTTTGGTAACATAGGTTTGTTAACGGGATGAAAGGGGTGCAGGGGCAGCGGGGAGGAGCGCATGACTCAGGCCTGGGATTCCAGGCTGGCATTCTCCATCATCAGGTGGATGACACTCATTCGCCTGCAACCCTGGCTCATGGGGTGCACGTGTGGCCCCACTCTGTAGCTTTCTGACCTCTGGCCTCCAGAGAGCATCGTGGGGTGAGCCCAACCACTCTCCAGGCCCCACCCTGCTCTCTGGTCACACAAAAAGGGTTCTTGCCCAGTGACACCACCCCGGGGCTCTTGCCCAAACCTCAAGTTCCTACAGGTTCTCCATTGGATAATTTCCTTCCTCCACAGCTCTCAATCGCTTCCTTCCCTTTGTGGCTCATTCCCCACAAAACACGGACATAAAAGGAGACAAACTTGAACCTGTTAGATTCATGTGTCACTCAACAAACACCCACACCTGGATCCTTGGAAAAATAGGATTGGTGGGTGGGACGAGAGGGAAAAGAGGAACAGGTACACAGTAGAATCCAAGGAAACACTGTCGGGGAGAGAGGTCAGCACCTGCTGTGCACCCTTGGGTAGGTCATGTCACCTTTCTAGACCTTAGTTTCCTGCTATGAGAATTGAAGGGACCAACCAGATGGTCTGGCACAGCATATGAATGCAGCCATTCACACCGGCCTCCTGCCCATCAAATCTTGGTCCAGCTCCTTCCCCCAGGTCATTCTCCCGCAATCCTTATTGCCTCCGCCCACCACCACCAACACCACCACTGGGTCCGGTCCTTGACATCTCTTTCCCAGCACCCACAAACCCCAAGGTCTCCTCTTCCACCCCAGAGTGCCACCCCCACCAAGCCCCTGGTGTACCTGTTAACAGAAGGATTCTGCAAGTCATGACCGAAAGGAGCGGGGGCCAGGAAAGATAGTGAGTTGTTGGGTTGCAGGCACCACTGAGCTACTTCGATGAAGCCACCGAAGCCAGGCGGGACAAAAAAGGAGAAGTAGGAAGCAGAAGTCTGCAAAAGCCCAAAGAAGGAAGGTGGGGGTTCCGTGAGCGCCTGGCCCTGCTTGCTGTCACTCCTGCACATAGCCTGCTTGCCCTTCTGACCCAGCTTCCTGACCCAAACCACTGAGATCTCTATCCAAAAGGTGCCATCTGTCACCTTGGCCTGCTTCTGGGGTGGGTGGGCCGCAGCCAGCCAAGGCAAGACCTTGATGCACCTGATGAGATCAGTTCACCATGTACACTGTACCCCGGAAGTGTGAGTCACTGTTGATAATCCACCCCCCTTCAGAATTGCTTTAATATTTTTTAAAAATAAAAATTTAAAAGACGGAACCAATCTAGCATAACCTTCCAAGTGGGCAAAATCAGTACAGGAAGCCAAACAGCATCTCCCAACCACATGCTTCGTAGGGGCCGGTGACACTACCTGCCATGCCAACATCCCATGCAGACACCAGTTGGAATCCCAGCTGCTCTGCTTCCAATTTAGCTTCCTGCTAATGTGCCTGGGAAAGGAGTGGGAAATGATTCTGGTGCTCCGGTCACTGAACCCACATGAGAGGCTTGGAAGAAGCTTCTGGCTTCAGTCTGGATTTTGCAATGGGGTAAACTAGGGAATAAAAGATCTTTCTTTTTCCTGCCTGTCCTCCTCTTTCTTTAAAACTTGCAATTTACAAAAGAAGACTTGGATTGTGATTTTTGGTCAATATCAACCCTTGTCACTGAAGCAATTACCAATCCCACCATGCCCCATGGTGGGCAGTTGCCATGTATGCCAGGAAGAACTTCATAAAGCTTCCAGGGGGCAGAGTGGGCAGCAAGGAGGTACCTTCCAAACACTGGTGCTCCAGGCTGGACCACCAGGTTGGTTCACAGTTTCTACAGCCAGAGGGGTAGCATTTGTCAGAGCACATCCTCAGGGCTACAAGCCCTTCTCCCTGCAGTGGAAGCAAGTTCCAGAAGCCACCTTCATTATTCTCCTTTTCCCTCTCTAACAGCCAAACAACTAAGGATTGAGACATTCAAAAGCCACCACATGCATGGAGGTTTTTGCAAAGATTTATTTCATTTGAAGGGCAGAATTACAGAGAGAGAGAGAGGAAGAGACCAAGAGAGAGGTATGTTCCTTCTGCTGGTTCACTTCTACATACCTACAATGACCATGGGTGAGCCAAACTGAACCCAAGAACCAGGAGCTTCTTCTAGAGGTCGCATGTGAGTGCAAGGGCCCAAAGACTTAGACCATCCTCTGCTGTTTTCCCAGGCATATTAGCAGAGAGCTGGATGGGAAGTAGAGCAGCTGGGACTTGAACCAGTGTGCCTGTGGGATGCCAGCATTGCAGGCAGCAGCTTTACCCACTATGACACAGGGTCACCTCAGGCAGATTTAGAAAGCTACCATAGAGCCCCAACACAATGGGATCCCATATGGGTGCCAGTTAGTGTCTCGGCTGCTCCACTTCCCATCTGGCTCCCTGCCTGTGGCCTGGGAAAGTAGTGGAGAATGGCTCAAAGCCCTGGGCCTCTGCACCTGTGTGGTAGACCTGGAGGAAGCTCCTGGCTCCTGGTTCCAGATCAGCTCAGTTCCAGCTATTGCGGCCACTTGGGGAGTGAACCAGCAAACGGAAGATCTTTTTCTGTCTCTCCTCCTCTCTGTAAACCTACCTTTTTCCCAAGAAAAGTAAATGTTTAAAAAAAAGAAAGAAAGAAAAGAAAGCTACTCCACATGCTGAAAATGCACAGGTTCAGAAAAGCAAAGACCCAAAGTTTCCACCTCAGGCTGATCCCCGGCACAGACAACTGACAGCAGTCAAAAACCATAACCCAACAAAACCAAAATATAGCAAGAAACCATGGGAAAGTGGGAGAATCTAATATCCAGAGTTCCTACATTATAAGATGCAAACATTCAATTTTAAAACAACAACAAAAAAGAAGGGGGCATACAAATAAGGAAAATCCAAATGAAAAAAAAAGATAAACCTACAGAAATCACCCAGAAAAAATCCAAGGAGCAGACTTACTGGACAAAGACTTTAAGATAATTGCCTTAAAGATGTTTAAAGAACTAAAGATGTAAAGAAAATCAAGAAAGCAATATACAAACAAAATAGAAATAAAGAGATTAGGGCTGTAATATAGCCAATTAAGTCACTAGATCCAATATAAACACCAGTTCAAGTCCCAGCACTTCTATTTCTGATGCCGCTACCTGTTAATTCACCTAGGAAAGCAGCAAATAATGGACCAAGTGTTTGGATTTCTTCCACCCTATGGGAGACCTGGATGAAGTTATAGGCTCCTCACGTCAACATGGCCCAGTCCCAGTCATTTTATTTTTTAAGCAGCAGATTAAAGATCAATAGGCTGATTGATTGATTTGAAAGGTAAAGTTGCAGCTAGAAGGAGTTCTTCCATACACTGGTTTATTCCCCAACTGGCTACAACGACCAGACTGGGTCACAATGAAGACAGGTACCAGAAACTATCCTGGTCTCCCACGTGGATGGTTGAAGTTCTTGGTGTTTAGGAACACCAGCAGGAAGCTAGATGGGAAATGGGGTAGCCAGGACTCAAAGTAGCATTCTAATACAGAGCACAGTTTTGCAAGCAGTGGCTTAACCCATTGCCCCAAAATGTCAACCCCAAGGAGCCTCACTTTAGATCCAAGGACACAAGTACATGAAACAACCAAATCACACAAGTAAATCACAACCAAAGAGAAGAGGAGAGGGCTTACTAACAGACAAAACAGGCTTTACGTATTTTTTAGAGAGATTTATTTACTGAAAACTCAGATTTTACCGAGAGAAGGAGAGACAAAGATCTTCCATCCACCGGTTCACTCCCCAAGTGGCCGCAACCAGAGCTGAGCCAATCCAAAACCAGGAGCCAGGAGCTTCCAAAACAGATCATAGGCCATACATGAAGTCTTGATAGATGTTAAAGAGTTGAGCTTTTGCAGCAATGGCTGGGACTCTGGGATCTCTCCATCTCATGTCAGCGTGCCCTGGTTTGCTTCCTTGCTCTTTTTCCAATTTCAGCTTCCTGCAAGTGTGCAGCCTGAGAAGTGATGGCACAAGGACTCGGGTCCCCGCCACTCACAACAGAGACCCAAATCAACTTCCAGGTTCCTGGCTTCTGCCTGGCCCTGTTGCTGCAGGCATTGGGAGGTGGATGGAGATGACCCGGCAGATGGAAGATGTCTCTATACCGGTCTCCTTCTTATGTTTTAAATAAATTTAAGCGAATAAATCTGGAAGTGTTTGCAGATTTGTAAAAGACCTATATGACACAAAAAAGTGTCATCTCTAATCACAAATGGTAAAATTTGCAAGCCTGTAGAAATTAAACATTCTTAAACAGCAAATGGATCAAAGCAGAAATCACCAGAGAAATTAGAAGATACTTCGGAGTGAAAATGAAACACAGCACACCAAAATTAGTGAAATGCAACAAAATCAATGGCAAAGGGAAGAATTATAGCTATAAGCACATTAGGAAATCAGAAAGATCTCAAATCAACAACCTGATACTTCAACTTAAAGAGCCAGAATACGAAGAAGAAAAGCCAAAGCCAGAACAAGGAAGGAAGGAAGTAATAAGATTGGGGGAGAGATAAACTAAATAGAAAAATATCAGAACAAGTAAGCTAACAAAAAAGAGAATACCTAAACTTCTTAAATTGGAAATTAAAATGGAGACATTACTATTCATTCTATAAGGGAAAAGGATTACCAAAAAATATTATAAAAAATGTTATGTCCACAAATTGAACAACCAAGGTAACCTGGATAGATTACTAAGAATAAAAAATCTACTAAGACTAAACCTCTAAGAAGTAGAAAATCTGAATAGACCTACAACTTACAACTAGAATAGATGGATTCCATCATCACTAATCTCCCAGGAGGGCAGGTGTGTGGCCCAGGAGTCAAGATGTCTGGCTGGAGTTAGGAGTGGAGCCAGCGCCAAACCCAGCTGCTCTGCTAAGGACCAGGCATTTGTGACAGCAGATGATAGCTTAAGTCGTCAGGTTCCTGCCACCCACGTGGGAGACTGGGATTCCTTTCTGCCTCCTGACTGAGCCCCAAATCCACTGTCTCCCTCTTCCCCCTCAAATAATAAGTTTTTTAAAGACAGGTTCCAGATTAAAAAAAAAAAACAAAACTATATCTGATGACCTCAGCGTACTTTCTACCAGACATTTAGAATGTGAACACCAATCCTGAAATCCTTCTGGAAAACTCAAGAGGGAAGAGCCCTTCACTCATTCTACAAAGCCAGCATTACCCTGATACCAAAACCAGACAACAATACAAGAAAAGAATGAGGCCTGTGCTGTGGTGAAGCATGTTCAGCAGACATCTGCAGTGCCAGCTTCCCACGTGGTGCCAACTCAAGTCCCCATCTTTCCACTTCCAATTCAGCTCCCTGATAATGAGCCAGGGAAAGCAACAGAGGATAGCCCAAGTGCTTGAGCCCTTGCACCCAAGTGGGAGACCCAGATGAAGCTCCAGGCTTTGACCTATCCCTTCCCTTTGTGATTATTTGAGGAATGAACCTGTGCAACTCCAGTGCATTACAAATAAATTAATCTCTTTAAACAAAAACTACCAATCCCTAACCCTTATGAACATTATTTGCAAACTCATCATCTCAATTAATGCAGAAAAAGCACTTGACAAAAGTCAGCATTTTGTTCGGCAGGAACAACAGGAAACTAACTCAACATGACAAAATCGGCATATAATACCTCACACCAAACATCATGCTCATTAGTGAATGGTTGGAAACTCTTAAAATGAGGAACAGGGCAAGAATGCCCATGTCCGTCACTATTAGTCACCAGTAAGTCAAGGGCAAAAACAGTCATCTAAACTGAAAAGGAAGAAGAAAAAGGATCCTTGTTCAAGAACAACATGATCTTAAATGTAGAAAAGCCTAAGGATTCACAAAAAGACAGC